TACCAGTTCAAAAAGTTGTGATTCTCACGAAAGGCCATGTTGAAAACCACGCTGGTTAGAAGCAAGTGCATTATTAGAAACGAATCGCTTCATTATAGATGGATATATTATATTTTGTAAAAGTCTGCAAGGAACAGATGTTAGTGAAATACATGTATGATTTAATACACTGGCTATTTCCAGACTTAAAAATAGGAATTAAATTTGCGACTTCCAACTCGTCAGAATACTACTGATGTCAAGGCACTGCTGGAATGAGCTGTCAAGTAAAATGTCCGTGGCGTTTTGTCAATTTCAGCAGCTTTAAACACGCCCCGTCTGCCCTGGGCTTGATTTAGTCGGTAAACGGTTAGTAGCACTGACAACTCCGTCGATGCTGATATTGATATCATCCATTTCCGCATTCACGAGTGTGTGGACAGCGTGCTCTTCTGACGAAGGCAGCTCGTTGATAAACGCTTTACCAAAAAAACGCATTAAGTATCAGAGCTGACTCAGAAGCAGACAATTTTACGTCAAAATCCTGTATTTGAGGAAATTGTGTTCTTTCTTTAGAATTAACGACTTGCCAGAACTTCTTGGGATTATTTCCTAATACGCTCGACCAAATTATGATTGAAAAACATACGTTGATTTGCTTTCCTTATGTCATTCTTGCACAATCGCTCACAGTCCTCGTACGATTGCCAGTCACGCTCCGTATCTGTATATTTGGCTCTTCTGAATAGTCTTTTCTTTTTTGAGATAACACGCTGCACGCCTCGTAAAAATCATGGACAGCCCAAACTCGGGGTCATAGCCAACTTATAGAATAAAATTTTCGCGCACAGAAATGATATTTATTATTATTATTATTATTGTCCACTTTTCTTCGACGTAGCGAGTATATAGGGTCCCGCGTTCCGCAAGAAATTCCCAAATCTTCAAAATGTCCCGCATTTCACACTGTCGTTAAACTCACTACGCAGCTTAACGGGGCACAGAGATGCGCGCAGATCGCTGGTGAATCTGTGAATCGCGATCGTGGGAAGCGATCGAAAGCATCGTGGGAAGCGTCCGTCGTTCTTGCAGGAGATCTGTCGCGCATGCGCCTTCGTGCCTATCTTCCCTTGGTGGCAAAATATATTGCAAGGGACAATTGCTCACCGAAAGTTGAAAATACATTATTTTAATTATTTTCAGATCGTGCTGCGTCAATGCGAAAAGGTTGCTGTGGAAAGCTTTTTTTTTTCTTTTTTAGTATAAAGACGATCACATAAGGCAAGAGGACTGCAACTTACAACGATCAAAAACAACAACGTAAAATTCGAATTTTGTGTAGGAGCATGTTGGTAAAAATACGAATCGAAAGGAAACGAGAAGGCATACAAGATTTACTGCTTACCGCCGAGACAATGTCACTTGTGGTGAAAATTATTCGAGTTTAATTAATTAAATACAATTTGCAGCTGTATAATATGCTTTCAGACAAGACAGGATATCAAATGTGCTAGCAGAGCCGCATTTCGTGGCATGTGTTGATAAATTTCCTCGAATAGTTATTTTTTCCATTTTGTTTTTTTAACCTGAGACTGGGGCAGAAGGCGGAAAAACAATTTTCCTCCACCTGCCCCAGTCTCTGGTTAAAAGGCAGCATGGTAAATTTTCATCCCCCCCCCCCCCCCCCCCCCCCCCCCCAAGGTCAGCGTGTTCCGCATTTCGCTAGCGGGAAGGTGGTCACCCTAGTAGCGAGCCCGGTAATTGCTTTCATAATTCAGCACAAAATCAGACAATGATATGCCGCTGTGGCAGTAAGGTCAGGTTTAGAGAAATCATACATGATCTTCCTTAGACCAACTCTCGAAGTATTCATTGAAATATACTGAAACTAAACGAGCTCCATGATCACTAATTTCGTCAAGCTCACGAACAGATATGTTTTCTGAGTGCGAGAAACAAACGAAGTCTAGAACAGCATTTCCCCGTGTGGGTTCACATAACCAGTTGGTTGATTGAAAAATAATTTGACATGTGTATATAGCTTGAACATTTATGTTTCCGTAGACTATGCAGGTCAAGACCACACCATTCAACGCCCGGATAATTAAAATATCCCACCAAAATCAGTGCTGCTGGAGGATACTTGCACCGAATAAATTCGACAACATTTGTTTGGCTATTACAAAGTTGAATCGGGTGGGTGATAACTTATCAGATACTCCGATTAGAACTCTATGAAATGATACAATATCAATGGACTCCCAAAGCGTTTCAAGAGGCGACGGGCAGCATTTTGCAAGTTATATCTTTTCGAACCGAACTTTTCGAACCATATTTGAATGCTCGATCCTTGCGAAGTACGTTGAAGTTATCATCATTTAAAAGTTAACTTGAGCTTATAATAACGGTCGGAAAGGTACGTTTCGCTTCCTATGACCACTTCTGTTAAGCAGAAAGTTATGCTACTCGCAAGCTCATTCTGCTTAGACGAGAGACTTCGAAAATTAGCTAGTAAAAATGGAAGAGCGTGGCATCGCTTTTCGCGGACGACCGTTTTACTCAGTGAAGGTGTAATTTTTGCACGTCATGGTTGATTATCAGTAGTGCCGCGTTAGCAGTTTCTGGAGTCGGATATAACACACTATCGGATTCTGCGTACGTCGTACACGTATATGTGGTTTTTGATAAATAATTTATCGAAGGAAAGGTGCACTCGATCATTTTGATTTTTTTTTTTTTTTTTTTGAATCTGCCGCATTTTTGGCGAGTATTTATCCTCGATCCACACTCGAAGTCGGTCAGTTGGCCTTAGCTTTGACGCACCACAAAAGGATCACTTGTTTGCTTTTAAAGTTTAGAAATTTAACAATAATTGGTCTAGCTAAGCCTACCCTCTTGGGACCGACACGGTGCGCTCTCTCAATATCGCCAGCATTTACTTGTAACTAGATAAAAAAAAAATAAAAAAAATGATTGGGCTATACGTTTTGTTTGGGACCATGATTCATTTCCTTCCCCAGGAATCCCGTTAATCAGTCAGTTGTTCCTTCTCGTTTGGTTTATGATGTCGTCTACGGCACCAGATAAACCACTCGTTCCTTGTTGTTTTGAAGACACAGACAACTTTATTCCTGCTTTTTAAATCTCTCTGCACCGCTGAGATATCGCGAAACGCGCTCTCTAGACTTGAAACCCGGTTACTGAGGCCGTCAGTTCCCGACGTGAGCCCATTCAGTTTGCCCGAGGTCTCCTTTTTGGTGCCTGGCATTGTCGGAGATAATGGTCATTCAGCTTGGCAAGTATTTCGTCGAGCTTCGCGTCACTGGATGGATGGACGTTACTGTAGCGGGCGGTAGCTTGCGCCACCTAGCCTAAGTCGTAGCAGGGCCAGGGTTGGTTTTGACGTCACTCGAACACATAAATAACCGAGCGAGGCAGAGCGTTAACCAGCAAAATCTGAAGACACGGGAATGCCCTACGCAACTACAAGGAGGAAGACTGGAACATTGATGGCACTTCCCTCTCTCTCTCTCTCTCTCTCTCTCTGTCTCCTTGACGCCTATTGTTCGCAGGATGCAGTCAGAAAACACTGAAGCACAGATGGGATTTGTGGTCATTGACGAGCAAGAAACAAAGAAGTATGTCGTTGAGAATGTAACTCGCCTACGATGCCAAAAGGTTCAGTTTGAGCGCGTGAAGCGCTTGACCGTTGACCGAATTACGCCAAAGCGAACAGGACCGAACCGCGCAGTTTTGCGCGTAGTTCATAGCCATACGTTGCACCAAGTTTTTCTAACAACGTTTGCTTGTCAGAGAAAATAACGATGCCGTTGGTATTTGAAGAATGTGTGTTTCGATAAAGTCACATAAAAGAAAAAGTCAGAACGCCTCCGCCAAGTGCTTTTTTTTTTTTTAATGCGAAAGGATTAACTGTCCGATGGAGCGAGCTGACGTCATCAGTTTGAAGCGCAAAAACGGCACCTAGTTTTCTTCGGTTCCATTGGCTGGCGCGCGTCGACGGGGCTCCCATTGGCCGCTGCGCTCGTCAGTTTCCACGACCGCTCACCCCATGGCGCAGCGTGTCCATCAGCGCGGAGCGTCCAAGGTCACCAGGGGAGCACTCGCGCTGACCGGCGACGAAAAGTACGCAGCAGACGAAAAAGGGAACGGACGAGCGGCTTGCATGCTTTCGCATTCACAACTCATAAGAAGTGCTTAAATGTACCACGAGCTTTTTTTTCTTTTTTTTTTTTTTTGTGGCAATTATTATTTATTGTTCAACCGCGACTCAAAGATTGCTTCGCGAAGCTACCCCTTGCATCGCTTGCCACGCTGTGTACGGCCAAAGACTTCTCACGTTGACTTCGTCGTTACGGTCGTTTCGGTTGCGTGCGAACGCAACCAAAGCAGATGTGGAAACCAGCCTTCACCGATGAAGGTCGTGAAGCGCAGCGCGATCTTGTGCACGTGCGCTAATTATTATTATTAGGTCGGGGTCGACACATGTGCGCGAAACAAATTTCGTGAAGCGAATCGTCTGTTCCCGTGTGTTCTGAAATAGCTGGTTGGTGTGTGCCGTTTAGCGCTGCAGCGATGTTTCGTGTAGATTTAGAGCCTCCGAAGTTACTCCGGCGGCATTTCGGGGGATCCTGGGAGCTGTTATCATAAGCCGTATTCGGTAAGAAGCTTGCGCTGAATGCGGAACAACTGAATTGCTCCCCCCCCCCCCCCCCCCCCCCCCCCCCCTTGCTGGTCTCTAGCTCTCTCTCTATTTTAATATATATAATTTGATTTAGTTTGGAAACCGGATTAGTGAAATTTCCTTTTCGATACTTCCAATGCAAATAAACTACAAAAATAAAATGTCCCCCCCCCCCCCCCCCCCCCCCTAAAAAAGTTTTAAAAAAAACTGGGGAAAAATATATATATTTCAAGTTTTAGGTGGAAAACAGATCACGAGACGGCGACACGCCTCGCTCTGCTCCGCGCCTAGTGTGCCTACATTACAGAGTGTTTCCAGATGTTTCATTGGGTTCACGCGCGTCGGTCGTTTGGAAGCGTCTGTCCCCGAGGTTTGAGTTGCTCCCTCTCATAATTCTAGACTCTCTATCGTGCCTGTCCGTTCCTTCGCGCGGATCGCGTTCGAATCGATTCCGCCAAAAAAGGCGTCATTGTAGCCGGCTTTATAGCTTCTCCGCCACACTCTACAAGCAGGCGATCAAAGGTTTTTGGAACAGGCCTTGACTTCCCGTACAACCGGCGATTCCACCAGAATAGGTGTCATCGTTGCCTGCTTTTCAGCTTGTCCGCTACTCCGCTACACATTTGGAACGTGGCTCGACTTCCCGTGTACAACCGCTACCGGTCTCGATAGGCGTCTACCTTTCCGCCTTCTCTATATAGTAGCAGTCTTCCCGGGACGAGGCCTCTCGCGGAGCTCAGACGTCGGGCTAGGTTTTTTTTTTTCCGGTTTTTTTCTCTATCTTTTCGTGTTCTCGTGTAGCCGCTTGCCTCCATTGGTGTCCAATCCGCCATCGTAGCATCAGCGGCGGCTTCGAGGAGACGGTTAGGCCTTGCGGCCGTGGGTAACCGTGATTCGTGCTCCCGTTTCGTTTCCCGAGCAGACGGCTTTTTTTCTCGTCGAGTCGGTGAGCAGGCCGGATTCACGGTAGGTTCGCATGCTCCTGTATTGGCGCGCCTGAAATCGGCGCATCGCCGTCCTTCGAAACCTTACCGAAATCTAGCTTTCTGAGCGCCGGAAACCTAGCTCCTTGACTCTGGCTGTTTGCAGTTGTCGGTTAGGCCGCGGCTTGGACTATCGTGGCACGGAGAAGAACGCGTACCGTTGAAATGCGCATCGCGGTGATCTCTAGTTGGATTTTAGGGGTTCTTGGGGGAGTTCTAAGAATACCTTAGCTCTTGTTTTTTTTTTTCGTGAGCGCACGACCTAACCTACGAGTGAAAGGTTTAACGGGTTGCTTTATTTTTTATTCTTTATTTCGTGGCCTTGAGTTCTCTTTGAGTTGGGTTACCGTAAACAGGTTGTATCTTAAAAATCAATCCGTCGAGCGATCAAGAAAATTATCTGGAGTGTATAATACCCGTTTGTGAGATTGTCTGCTATCTTGACGACGATGTTCATCTGCGATGTCGTTTTGTTGGAGCCACCGCGGAAAACTGGTAGATGCGAACGTGGGTCGTTGTAAAGATTTGTGCGACCGTGTTCGCGGTATCTTCGTCACCCGTTTCCTCTCGCGTCGGCTTCGTGAGGCCTACCAGCCCAATTCTTGAACCCGCAAAGCCGCCTGTAGCGGTGGTCTGTAAAGCTAGCTTCCCTGCTAGCCGACTCACATTGCGGTGAAGCCAGCTTCCAGCGGGCCGGACCCGTTCGTGCGTGGCCGACGTTTTCCTTAGGCCCGATGGTATTCTCGAAACTGTAATGTCCGTAATATTGTTGGTTTGACGGATTACGTGGAGGGAGTGTTGTTTTGGGGACGATGCGGGGGGGTCTTTTTATGGCGTTGCGGTTTCGAAATCTATGTCGTGGCGCGCCGGCCGGGTTGGTTAGGCTTAACCGTACCGTGCCTTAAAAAGAAAAGAAGGAAAAACGTCGTGGGGTGGGGTGGGGGCGGGCGGTGCACTTATCTAGGTCACCGGGTCAGCACGCGCAGTCTTGCTCGATGCAGGCTGAGACAACGAAAAAGAAGGGGAACGCGATACGGGAGCACATCGAGCGTATAAGTGGCGCCGTAAGTTCCAAACAATTTCGGAAAAAAAAAAAAAAAAAAAAAAAAAAGTCGATAGTAGAAAGAGATATGCTCGAGCGGTGTGGGTTAGAAGTTGAAACGTACGCCTCAGTTAAAATTTCCATTTTTATCACTCAAAACTGGCCTTGCTAACTGTTTTTGTTAGAACAAAAATTACCACAATAAAATAAAAAAATAAAAAGTTTTGTTGTTGTCCCGTTTGTGTGCAGACTGGCTACAGATTAGGATTTGTGTGAACTTTGACGAAACTTTCCATCACTTCACCCCATTGATGTCTCCCGTTTGCTTAGGTGAAAAGTCTAACTCTCTGCTACCATTAATTAAAACATGCCCAGGTTACTTCACCAGCGTGAACAAACAAAGGATAAGGTAGAATACAGTCCAGCGACTTTTATTTCGCCAAAATAGGAATGTTGGTGTGCACGTCGCTGATAGCTTAAAGGGGCAATGCGAAAATTTTTGTAGTTTGCGCATATGCCGCTTCGAACGAATCCTCGACGTTAATGACCCATGAAACAGGCGTTTGTTTTTCACCACACACAATAAAAGTCGCAGGAAAAAAAAATAAAGAAAAACGAGCAGAATTCAACCCCCTCAACACGCAGCCAGAACAAGCTTTAAGCACATGTTTGTCAGCATTGATGATTATATGATGGTAGCTTTGTGTTTGCTTTTCTTTTTGCGGAGAAAAAGGAATGATTCAACCGTGCTCTCTAGATGGCCGGCGGTCAGGACCAGAAGTGGCAGAAGGATGCCGTGGATCAGAACTTCGACTACATGTTCAAGATCCTCATTATCGGCAACAGCAGCGTGGGCAAGACGTCCTTCCTCTTCCGCTACGCGGACGACTCCTTCACCTCCGCCTTCGTCAGCACCGTGGGCATAGACTTCAAGGTCAAGACCGTCTTCAGACACGACAAGAGGGTCAAGCTACAGATATGGGTGAGCGCACCCTCAGTGTCGCGCTTGCTACTTCAAGCGCTTCGGTGAAAGTCTCCTCCAAGAGACCATATTACTGCGTTTTACCTTGCGGCACAACACGAAGGATGCCACGAACCATCACAGCTAACCAAATTCCACGAGCGTGTCACATGACCTTTGGAAAGGGCGCAGCAATGTGCAGGGTCCATGGCCGTACGACACAGTGCTGCATTGGCTGGAGTGGTTCGTAGCTTGCGCCACAGCCCATCGTAAGGTGAAACGGAATATAGGAGTAGCATGACGGTGAAGCCAGCGAGGCGGACACTGAAGGCCAATGTGTTTTCAACTTTACGTCCAGAAAGAGATTGGGCTTTGGAACAGAGAGAAAATGGACACTTTCTACTCCCTTACGGCCGGTCATCCGTTCCTAGTACGCTAGGCTGGCATAAAGGACAATCGTCACGGGGGCACGCCTCTTAAATAAAAGTTGCCGATCGGGCAGCTGTAGTTCCGCCTCCAGCGGACGCCACATCATACGATACTTTAGAAAGTGCATTCCTCGGCCCTAGTACTACATCCATTAGTACAAGCTTTCTCTTTTTATAGTCGCCGGCTAGACGCCTCTCCCAGACGTCCAGTCTCCAGCATGCGCATGTTGCCTTCCGCCATGCTTCGGCTGCTCGTGCGTGCTCGAGACTCACAGGGCGCCAAAGCATTTCGGAAGGTAGCAAGCTCGTGCTGGAGGCGGAGCAACTGAAACTCCTTCCTGTCACTCTCACCTTGCCGCGAGAAAGCAGACTGCGAGTTGTTGACACCAATGCGTCACTGTCATGCTCCCGTCACAGGACACAGCGGGCCAGGAGCGGTACCGCACCATCACGACAGCCTACTACAGGGGAGCCATGGGGTTCATCCTCATGTACGACGTCACCAACGAGGAGTCCTTTAACAGTGTTCAAGACTGGTGAGTGGCCGAGCTGGGAGGAAGCAGCGGTAAATCGAAAGAGCTTGTCCAAGTGGGACGCAGCACGTGAAATAGGCCACACGCAGGTTTCGTTGTCAATGCAACGTATGCCTGGCACGAGTGTTTGCGATGCTAATCGAGGACAGGTCTTGTGGTAAAGAGAAAGGGAAAAGAAGGCGGGACAACCTGAAATGACAGCAACCACTATCCAAAAGATGTGGATAAGCACGAATAGTGACGTAGCGCCATTGTGTTTACCAGCCGTCGACAAAGACCCTGGATAAAATTTACGCTAAGCGTTTCTTACAAGTATCGACAACCATCGTAGTGCAAAAGCACGACGCACGTGCCAAGAGCAACTGCCGCGCTGCCATTCGCTTCTAAGGGCCGCATTCATGCACTGGTGCATTTGTCACTACTTGTAAGATGAGCACAAACGCATCGAGGAGCTTTAGCTGTCAGCAGCTCTTCCGGTCTTCTAGTGGATTGACGGAGCAGGTTGGACCACGCGTGCGACACAAACTCTTTCTCTTCCCAGGGTGACGCAGATCAAGACATACTCGTGGGACAACGCCCAGGTGATCCTGGTGGGCAACAAGTGCGACATGGAGGACGAGCGGGTGGTGAGCACGGAGCGGGGCAAGCAGCTCGCCGACCAGCTCGGCCTCGAGTTCTTCGAGACATCGGCCAAGGAGAACGTCAACGTCAAGGCCGTCTTCGAGCGCCTCGTGGACATCATTTGCGACAAAATGAGCGAGAGCCTCGACTCGGACCCGGCCCTGCTGGGAGGCTCCAAGGGGACCCACCTCACGGACAACCCTGGCGCCCCGCCCAACGCCAGCTGCCAGTGCTAGGCGACCCCCCCCCCCAACCCCCCGCACCGGACGCGTCGTTCCTCCCAGTCGGTTCCCGGATCTCTCTTGGTGGCTCCCCCCTGCGTCGACCCATCGAGACGTCACAGCGGGGACGGCGCGCCGCAAAAGATCGACCGTCCTCGGCAGACGGGAAGTCAAGGCGGGCAGGCGGGCCAGACTACGGGATTTCGTCCGCCCGCAACGCCGCGAATCGCCGTCTGCCGAGAACGATGGCCCGGGTTCCGGCTCTGTCGCGACGTCAAGGACGAGGGAACGCGGGAGCGTGCCGCCGAGACGTCTCGCCGCCAGCCGTCGCACGAGGGTCAGGCTCGTCCGGCGCCTCCCACAAGGTCGCACCGCACTTTGCTCGGCGCGACTCGGTCGACGGTCTGGCATTTTGGGCTGTAATGTGGAACAGCGAGGTCTGTACGTCGCGCTCGTCCGAGAGTGGACGGCCGACGCCGCGTGAAAAGACGGATCCGGGCTTTCACTGTTTCTCCGTAAACTTCGTTGGCCGTAGCAAGTTCTTCTTTCCCCGCGCGTTTATTACGGACGGTGTTAAAGTAAAACCTAAACTTTTTGTTTCGTCGAGGTATCGAGCGGTTCCGAAGCACGCCTCGTCGTTCCCGACGCCGAGCGGGTCAGCGGCAGGTTTTAACCGTACGTCGCCGACAAAGTCTGGAGATCTCTCTCTCTGCCTTGTGACCTTAGTGTTTCACCGGTCAGCCGTTTCGCCTAGCGAACGTGAGGGCAAACCGTAAAGTCCGCCGTCCTCGTCAAAACCCGTTCGATCCTTCCGTTTTTCTCCCCTTTCCTCAGCGAGCAAGAGCGCGAGCGAAACGTCTCGCGGAAGCTCGTCAGAAAACGTTCCGCGAGTGCAAACCAAATTGGCGGCGGAAAGGTGCTCTTTTTGAGCACACCTTCGCGGCCAGTTTGTCACGATTGGCCGCACCGTGACGTTGCTAGTCAGAGATGGGGTACAATCAGAGATGGACAGCTCACACTGCCAGAATGTCTTAGACGGAAAGAAACGTGCAGGGGCCATCCGCTATTTCGGCGCCGCAGGAGGAAACGCCATTCCATCGCTTTACGGTTGGGGCAACATTCCGGCGAGAACGGCAAACTTTGAAAACCTCACGTTTGCGTTTTTCGTTTCTTCCAGATTCGAGCGTTTCGCTCATCTGTCAGCCACGTTTGTCGCACAAAGCCGCCGCTACCGCCGCCGCCGCTTGCGTCTTCTGTTCTCCCGCCCCACCACCTTCGCTTTCTTATCAAGCTCGTTACCGGTTCTTAACAAGGCAACCGCCACAAAGGTTTGAGAGGGCGAGGCCGGGAAGCTTAACGGACTCCCCGCATATTTTTGGTTTTCTTTCCTCCTACGCGTCTCCGGCCGATCGATCGGCCAATCCGAGCGTGTGCACACAGAAACACGAACACCTACACATGCACACACACCGAAACCTACTGGGTGTGTCTGTAAATTCCGGTTTGCCTGTGTATAAATGTGTACATACTACGTGGAAAAACAAAAGGAGAAAAAAAAAAGTAGCTAGTGTCCGGACTTCGTGAAACGGAGACAGAGAAGGCAGGGGAAGAAATGTGCAATAAAGAAAAAAAAATGCCCCCAGACGAAACGCCGCAAATGCCGACGTAAACCGCGAGGGTGCGTCGATTTCCGTGTGGTTTCTATGGCCTTTCCCGATCAATTCCCAGCCTGTCCACGACTGCTCCTCCTCCGCTTAGAAGCGCGATTCCGATGATTGCCCAAGACCACGGATTGTGCGGGTTCTAGGCCTTGGGCAAGACTCCGATGTGTGTTGCAGTGGTGCATGTTTGTGTGCATGCAAGTACCCCCGGTGTGCTGTAGAGAAAGAAAAAAAAAAAACTAAACTTGACAGCGTCGTAAGACTCTAGGAGCACACATGTAAGAATTTGTTGCCTTCCCCAAAATCAGTTCACTTTAGTTACTGACAGGATTAGAACGACAGAGAAGTCCCTTGGCTTTTCCTGATGCCAGTGCGAGCTTCGAGAACGCTTTGGCGTCTTGAGTCTCCAGCATGCATGTGCAGCTGAAGCAGAGTGGAAGGCAATGAGTGCATGCCGGAAGGCCAGGCATCCGAAAGAGACGCTCCGCCATTCTAACCCTGCCAGTGACCGTAGCTGTATCCTGGGAGGGAAAGGAAAAAGCTTTGCATTGCGCGTCGAGCTGCTTGGCACGTGCTGGCCGTGCTTTGCGAGCCGGTTTGTTTGTTTCGGTAGCACCGTGTTCTTTGTTCCGTTTTGCAAGGTTGCTGCTCCAAGAGGGGAAAGAACTTGTGTAGCGTCATTGTTGGGCGTGCTGCATTCTCGATCAAACCTCGAACGGCGGAGGGTAATGTTCCGATGCGTCGCATTTAGAAAGCCTCGAGCAATGCCTCCTCGCATTTGCTGGGCCGGCTTCTTCCTGGATCCAGAGTATTTATACACTTGTTTTCGTTTCTTTGTTTCCCATTTACGTTTCCTGCGCTTTTCGCATTTGCTAGTCACGGAATGTTCCGCAGTCTTTTCGAAGCGAAGACGCTGTTCCAGTCGCTTTGTCGGCGCGAGACACGTTCGAAGCGCCCTAGTCGTTTTTTACGTTTTTCGACATTCGAGGACGAATCTTTACTTGTCCGCATTCTTGTCGTTTCAATGCATTCTACAACAGGAAGGGGTGGGGGGGGGGGGGGGGGGGGGGGGAGCGTTCACTGCAGGTTTCCGTCTCGCGGTTTAAAAACGAGATCTATTTTTCGTAATGCAGAGCGCCATACCGCACTGGAACCTTCTACTTCGAAATGTTGCGGTCTTAAGGGCCACGAGGTCGTCGTACCCTGCATTCCAAGACTGGTTTTCGGTTGTGTGCAAGCAAGCAAAAGTAATCCCACGTCACGTGTAGTAGTCGGAGGGTCACATCCAAGACGAAGATCCGCGCGTCTCGGCAGACTGCGCCGAGGCGAAACTAGCAAAAAATGTAGACGGGGACGACCTGTGGGTAAAGACATCTGTGGCCACGCGTGTTCCCGTACTCTGTGAGCCCCCCCCAACACGCGCAAGGTGTGTGTCTTTATTCTCCCGTGTCTCTCCCTCTAGTCTGTATACTGTGTGAAAGCAGAGTTCACAAACATGCGGGCCCCCGTTTTTTTCGTCGTGTAAGGTATGCTTGGGTGTGCTAGGAAGTAGTTGCAACACGATCTCCCGGAGAGGATATATAAGTATATATATATATATAAAAAAATATTCCCTTCTCCCTCGACGAAGAGAAACCAAATGTTTTCAGGACGAGATCGTTCCCCTCTCCTTTGACGAAAAGGATTCTGTTGTAACAATTGTAAAATTTTAGTTTTCATGCTGTGGAGTAAATAAAGCAACAAAAAACAAACGAAGAGTGTGTTGTGGTCGCGCTTGCTTTGGGACATTTATTGTTCATCTGGGCATTCGCACAAAAGTTGCCTATATTACATATGTACACGTGGTCGACCGAGGCCTTCGCTCAGCTCCTGTTGCAGGAGAGACAGGTGGCATGCTCTCCGTACTGGTTGTACCTGGAAGCGAATGGAGGTGTGAGTATTTTTCTCGTTGAATCCGTGCTAACCTGCGACAGCAAATGCCGGCCACGGACTCTGAAAACGCAACCGGGGTGGGCAGCATTCCAGTATGACATCACATTGCTCTCTCTGTACACTGCATTCCTCAACACGTAACCTTTGCAGAAAGGTGCATGTCCCTACTTCTAGGGACTGTCCTTTTCAGCTAGGGACAGAATACCCTGCTGCTAGAGTAACATTGGCTTTTAAAAGCCAATGTTACTCTAGCACCCCCCCCCAAAATTTTTTTTTTTTTAATTTTTTGCTAGGCAATTCAGTCAATATTTTGCTACAGCATCACATGTATTTTTAATAAAGTAAAAAAACGCAACTGCTTGAAACTTAAACTGGACTGGGGAGGAAGAAGAAATATAGAGGAGGAGAGTGTTGGCAAAAATCAAGTAACAGTGCAACTTCTTTTTCTTTTTTTTAAATTAACATATTTGCAGCTTTTTAGAAGCCACGAAAAATGGTTGTCATTTTTTTTTCTATACTTAATATTGAGTGCCTGCCTTCGATGACCCACGACTTCGATTACATGTTGTGGCTGTGTTTAAACCATAGAAAACGGCGTACGTGACTACGAAGAGGAGAGTGAGTGCGCCTCAAACTGTCCAGTTCTCGATTGGCGGTTTTCGGGCAGAAAGAAAACAAATTTTGAGCCGCAAATAGTTTTCTGGGTAGTTGGGATCTTATATGTAATGTATAAATAAAGACTTTGGCGAGCATAAATACCCTGTCAGTGTCCCTTTAAAGGGATGCTGAATCGAAATCTGGATTCCCCAAAACGTGCGGCAAAAGCATACAACGGGATGCTGCAAACACCAAAACATTACTCATACAGCGATATCTCGAACGGATGACCGTATTTTTTAAAAAAGGCGCATTTGGCAGGAATGTTGACGTCATGTTTCTCCGAGAAGGAGAGGAAACGGCCTCGTGTCTTCTCCGCCTCGCGGCCTTGAGGGAGTGAAGCGAAGAGAGGAGGAAACTAAATATCTTGACGGTCACGCGCCTCTTCAGCCTGGTTCAATCTCGACTTCTTTTTACAAAAATGCAGCCGTCTATTCGAGATATCGCCTTACTAGTAGTGTTGTAGGGATTGTAGCGTTTCGCCTACATCTCCAGCATTGTTTTTTTGAAATCCAAATACTTTGTGAAAAGTATTAACGCACAGCACTGAAAAATTGGTTTATGCAATTTGCAACCCACCCATGACAAAATGCTGTATGAGGGGGAGGGGGAGAGGAGACCCCAGCAAAATGAAACATTTTGCACTCCCCCCCCCCCCCCCCCCCCCCTTCCGACTACGCGCCTGCCTTGGAAGTGTCTACAAGTTCACGGGAAGAAAAGTTGTTTTGTTCGTTTGGGGTCGGGGTGGCAAGGTTTAAAGGTAAGAGAGGAGGAAGATGTCGCGGGACCGTCGTTGTTCCGCTGTCGAAATGTACACTTGTGGAAAGAGGTGTTCTTGGGGTTTTTCCTTCCCCTTTTTCATTTGGTTTTTTTTCCTACTTATTCAGGTTTTGGAAAATAAAATTTCAGCTGTGTTTGAGACTTTTGAGTGTGTATGTCGTTACCTGCAGCGTCGGGGTTTCTGAATCATGTTTTATGTACACAGGCTTGTTTGCACCCTTACATTTATTTTATTTATCTTAGACCTTTATGCTTTTATTATTTCAAGTTAAGGAAGTATGTTCAGCGTTCGATTAGAGGGGGCATCAAAGTGCATGTGGTCATACTGAGGTCCCCTAAACTGCAATCAAAGTTTAAACCACTACCTCAGCATGGAACAGAGGGGGCAGAAGTTTCTCTCGCACGCCACGCAAGTCCGGCTGCATGCGTCGCACGACGAGCGGTCACAAAAGTTGCACGTTGCGGCCGTCATCACTGGACAGGGCTTGAAACACGAACAGCACTTCGGGAACTGCCCGTTAATCAACGTTGCTGGAAACACAAAAAAAGACAACAAATTTAAGACATTACGACAGTACCTATTGCAACCTTCACAACCTGTCATGTAGTATAATGTTGTCGCCTCAAAGTGGAAAAAAAAAAAAACGCATCTCCACGTGGTGAATGATGTTGATTGGGGCGAAGCTCTGGTGGTGCTTGTCTGCGTAGATGCTGAGCCGCAGCATGCCAAGCCTTTCGTTCGTTTTCATCCATGTCACGCTGCGGTCGAATGCTCAAATGCATATACAACCACGTTCCATACCACACATTCTCTTTCTGACATGGATGAAAACGAACGAAAGGCTCGGCATACTGCGGCTCACCGTCTACGCAGACAAGCACCACCAGAGCTTCGCCCCAATCAACATCGTTCACCACATAGAAATGCGATTGTTTTTTTTTTTGTTTTTTTTTTTTCTTACACAAGCACGGGAGCACGTGCTCACGTGCTCGTGAGCACAAGTACCCGACGCCGGACATCGGACGGACATGGCTACCCCCTAAAGAGCTTCGCCCCTAAAAAAATGGTAACCTTGTGTTACCTGTGGGGTTCTGTAGGCAGCTGTCACGTTCAAGATCTCTGCCGGCAACAGCGGAGTTCTGTGCTTGGTTCGACGCAGAGAACAGCATCTTCAGAGTTTTGGCTGTAAATTTAATTCATAAATTCTTTCAGGGTATTTAAAGCGTCGAATACTTTAAACTTTAAAGATAATAACAGACTTGTGTATACAGTAGCAACTTACCGTGCACTGCGGCCATCCGCTTCGTCGAAGATCGGTCGACGTCTTTCTGCGCTACGTGAAACTTACATTGGACGGGAAGCTCGTCGGCAAACGGGTTCGTTCTTTTCATGGCTAATTCCTCGTCGAAAAATATCGGAGAAAATAAAAAGAAAGTGATAAACTTGGAGCGTATCAAGTGTTCACAGTTGATAAATGGTGAACGCGCGCAATTTATGCGGCTTTGGCTTCGACTACTTTTGACAGTAAAGTTAGCAAAGCCGTAAAGTGCTCTAAGGGCACTTTTGACACAAGTGTGTCAAGTGTGTGTAAAAACTCCACTTTCTGTTAAATATTTTTATAATAAATTAATTAAAAATTGTGCTTCGAACTTGTTTTTTTTTAAGTTGTTTTTAAAAGCGTAAGCTTTTAACGTTTGTGGTTACACGGAAGAGAGATGACACTACCTACCAACCAATACAATCATTTTGTTTAATTTATTTCTCTATTTGTGTATAGGATTCAGAATTTTGGAGGATTTCTTGCTGTCGAAAGCGCGCAGCACCGTCAAAGAAAATGTTCGCGTGATTGATAGCTCGCTGCCGTCGTATCTCGTCCTCCACACCCGCAATCGCACGCAGGCAACAAACCGCAAGCTGTCTTCCGAAGTCGACTTCACCGTACCTGGTCGCGGAACATCGCCCACAGAGAACTTTAACCCATCCGATGGGCGGAACGTTGAGCTACGAGATCGCGCTGTGAACGCGGCTACCGAAAGACAAATAACGCTGCATTCGTTCCCGTCGTCGCTTTACTTGACCATGGCGTACCAATGATCGCGCCCTGCAATGAGCCTAAAAGCGTTCGACCTGATCCCCGCCAGCGAGAGAGTCAGCAGCGGACTAGCAACGACGGAGGTACGGCTTCGCGAACACACCTCCCTGCTTGCTTATTGGAAAGATGCGGCCGATCTTCGGTTGCACTCTTTAACGAATTGAATGTTTCATTCTGTTCCAACTAAAACGATAAGAGTAGAATGCATCCAGACGACCGCCGAGATACGATCAGCAGCCGGTGTGCGTTCAACTAAATCAAAATGCACCGGCTTTTTTTTTTTTTTTTTTTTTTTAATAATGAAGTTGCTTCAGCGTTTGTTTTGCTAAAGTAGAAAGGGTGGAAGGCTTTGTCGAAGGAAAGAGCTTGACCTGCTATCTTTAACGTGTAATAGACTGTTGTGAGTCGCCTAACTGTATTGTTAACAAGGTGACTCCAGTGTCTCTCCCGTGATTGGTGGATTTATTATCCCATCGTTCAATTAGGTTGCCCAGTGGTTATCATTTCGGCCGAGCCATATTCTGAACATTTCTTGAATCAGTCACTATTATATTACACTAGATGTGAACAAGGTTCAATTTCCGGAGCATGGTAGAGTCTGTGATTACGTTCAGCCGGTTAGCTAAAAAGTTCTACGATTGGATGGATCTGCACGATTGCTTCCAATAGCTAGGTTTTGCTGTCTAAAGGCTTATTCACACGATGCATCTTTTCAACGCGCCACAGTTTAGCGAAACCAAGATTTCGCGAAATCAGCCAGTTCACACGTGGAGCATGACGCGCGAAACCTGTGACGTATTGACTCACGAGAATTTCGCCAAACCTTGTCATCTGCACCGGGAATACCAAGCGTTTCTCATCAAAATGATATGAAGTACGCACAGTGTGAAGAGACAGCCTGTTTTATTAATACCACTCAATGAACTTCGTCAGATTCGGCTCACTGGGTTTCCTAGTCCTGCCAAACCCGGGAAAGACCGCGAACGTCAAAGAACAGGCAGATGATCTCGAAGCATTTCGGACATTTTTGCACCGCTAATAAAGAAAGTTATTCCCAGTCACCAGGTTTATATCCGGTGCTTGCACTCGTCGCGACTATTGATGAATCTGTACCGCGCCACCAACCCGCACTCTAGGCGCCGTTCACACACCTGACGCCGAGTAGGACGTCTCCCGTACGCCCGTACGCACCGCTTCTCCGCTTGTCGCTCGCCATGTTTGTTTATTTTCTTTCGGCTTTGGCTCGGATACGGAATCGGCCGAAAATCAGACTCCTCCAAAAGCTCGCTCCTCCTCGAAGGTCAGACGTCATAGCAAAGTCGAGCGGCCATTGGCAGCACCCGTGTTTCTCCTTCGGGTGATGGACAGGCCTCGGTGAGGTTGCAGCGAGAAATTGCTCCAGAAGCGAGGAAGACGCGCCACTTTTTTCGGAGGCGCGCCACTTTTTCGGTGGCGTTCAGACGGGGAATCTGTTTCCCGAAACCTAGTTTCGCGACACAGCATTCGCCAACAAGATGCATCGTGTGAATAGACCTTAAGTCTAAAACTGATTCTAAGCTAATTATAGTTCCAATCAATGTAAACAGTCATTGTTAATCAAGTGCTGTCCGAAAATTAAAAAGTGCAAAAGACAAGGACACTAGGGAGACAACACAGCACAAGCGTCTACTATCAACTGACGTTTTAATTCGGAAGATGAGGAAGATGAAGAACCCTACCAAGTTCAACCAACTAGGCCAACAAATCATTTTGCTGCAAGTGCAGTCTTTTGCTCTGCAATAAAAAATCCGAAGTCATTGCAACTTGGTAATTATCTAAACTTTCTTATATATCCAGATCAGCTGCCTAGAATGCAGTGGAAAGACCCTCTATGCTGGCACAGCTGACGGGTAATGTCCAATCTCCTGCTCGTATCATTCGGAGAAAATGCAGGCTTTCACTGTGCTTATTTGTTGTGCTTTCGAACGCCTTCACACCGTTTCCAGGTTTCTGATTCAGTATCGAATCGAAGACCAAAGCAGCAGCGATGGCCTGCTGCAGCCTTTCGACACCCGAAAAGAGACGCAGAAATTTCTCGGCACGGTGAGCTTGTACTTGATCTGTTGGCCTGACTTTCCACGGCAGTGCAGGGGAACATGGGTTGCACAGTTTCAAGATGTGCGTTACTTGCATGTTTGCTTGCATCGCACATGTTTAGAATTTGTAAGTTTGCTCTGGCTTCCTTTCTAATATGCTCGCATACTACAGAAAAGTGTCTCCGGAGAGTTTGCGATAAGATTCAACCGTCGCACCCCTAGCGGCAAAGCTAGAAAATTTCACCTATGAGGACAGCCACCGCATTATTTATTTATTTCTGTTTGTGACACAACGCTTGGCTGACATAGCTGAACGCTGTGTGTGCATTTGGCTGGGGCACGTGTCAATCAGTGAAACACTATTGAACCCCAAAACCCAGCCGAACGCTGTCGCAGCTTTGTGTTCAATGCAATCCGCACATTCCAATGAGATGGACGATGTAATAATCCAGTCTATGGGGTTTTGCATTGGGGAAACACCGAGCTCTGTGGAAAACAAGCTGGACAAAGCGTCCCCTATGGTTCCATCTCCTTGGCAGCACCGACACAAGAACAACTTCGACGCGTTTCAAGGCGTTGAACCATTTTCTTTCGTCATCTAACCTTGCATGAATCTTTGTGTTTAAATATAGTATTGACTTTGCATGTCGTATTCTTCAAATACGGAGACTGCGTGGTGTGGCATGTCAAACATCTTGTAAATTTCTGTTCGTTGTCATTGTCTGCTTTAGAAAAGGCCTGTCCGGACACTCAGAGCCATGTCGGCACTCAATCGACTCCTTTGTCTCAGCGACGGAAACCTCATGTGTCTCGACATGACCGACCTAGAGGTAAGTTGGTCTGTGTCCAACGACTCCCACAGATAGACGTCTCGTATTGCCAGATTACAGAAAATGTTTCATTGTTTTTTAGTCAAGAGATAAACATCTCATACTATAGCCTCATTACAGATATTTGTTTTACTATGTTATCTGACAGATAAACATCCCGTATAGCCTGATTAGAGAAAATGTTCCATTACTTTACAGATATTGAGTGGTCTTTCGAAATTGAAGGGCATTTCTGCGTTTTGCGTGAATGAGAATCCCACCAAGAACGACCCCTTCTGCGTCCAAGTAAGTTGCGAAAATTTATTTCACATCTGAGCTGAATTTTGTTCATAAAATATATATGTCAAGCACTCAACTCATATGCAATGTTAGGCATTACCCAGGTGCATTGGAGGTGAAACAAAGAGTCGGTGCTTATTCTTGCAATGTTGTTTGAACAACACAGTGTTTCATTTTGCCGATTTCTTGCTGCCTTACGTTCTATGAGTGAGGCAAGGCGGTCGTTACACGCTTTGTCCACGGAGCGCAGGACCGCTACATCAGAGACGCGTCCTGATAAGATACCAAAACTTCGAAACGCATCCCAATGAGGCGTTTATTCAAAATGCTGTAAAATGCTGTGCAATTTGTAAAGCGTGCTGATTTAGTAGTTTTTAATGATGCCCAAAAAGTTTCTAATTGAAACCATAACTCAAAATTTACCAATTAGAAAGTCGATTACTAAACGTAATTAAGAGCCTAACTTTATGGAACATTATTACTTAATTTTCCTGAATAGGCCCTTTGGCAGAGAGAGATGGCCTACGACATCAATTCTTTTTTCTGTGCGACATATACTTTTCACAGGAGCGGTTTGGCCAGCGTTCCGGGAGACGGACTGCATGCATGTAATATATGAACTGTATTCGGGTTTTTCGTATGGCCACATACTCGGTGGCGCTATCTATCGGCTAGCACTGGCACACTTCCAGTCCGCATATATTTCCCAAGTTTTTACGCACCATACTTTCATCTTTAGAACGAGTTACGTCCGACAGCACTGCGAGCGACCGTTTCCCAAAGATAGCGCGTGTACTCTATCTCTCAAATACCACAAAACGCGTCGTTCAGTTCGGAAGCGGAAGTGTCCGAGGGTTATTCGCATACTGGTGCCACCATGCTTAAACTCGCGCGAGAAAGGGGGAGTAGTATAATCTAAAGCTGTCTGCTTTGGTCACCCGAGGCAAAAAATGTCACAACTACCGTCGGTGTGGTAGACTTGTAGTTGTCACGAAAGCTTGTCTGCTGTTGCCGACGGCCTGTCACAGCAGATCACCATCGCTTGTGCAGGTATGTGCTGCCAGGCGAAAACAGCTGCAATTCCACAGTATCACCGACGTCAAAGTGCTGCATCAGGGGGACATCCCTTTGCCTGAGCCTCCAATTGCCATGGTTCGTTGGACGGGCAGTCATTTACGTCTGCAATTCATTTGAAACAAACTTGTTCCGTCAAGTATAGACCATAAACTAGTGCTTTTTTTTGCTCACGAAAAAGTTTATACAGTAAAACCTCGTTATAACAAAGTTGAAGGAGCGGTCGTAATTATTTCGTTTTAACCATTAGTTTGTTATACCCAATGTCCATTTCTTCCCACTATTAGCAAGCAAGGAGAATTATGATTGCTTTGTTATATTCATTAGTTCGTTATATCCCATTTTGTTATAACGAGGTTTTACTGTATTGTGACCGTTTATTGCTTCAAGCAAGAGGTGAAGTGAAATTTGAGTAGTGTTGACGATGGGGCTGGCTAATAGATAATTATTAAATACAAGCAGCGTAAAGGACATATACAAAGAAAAGAACCACTGTGGAGTGTTTTTCTCCTTTTTTTTTTGTGCGTCTTTCGTGCTGTTCATTTTTAATAATGCAGTCGAGGTTGCAAGGCAATGCTTGTCTTAGGATCAAAACTGTAGGGCTGTTAGGCTTTGACTCTTTGAATGTTGTATTAGGATCCAACCACTGTTCCCCAAGATTTCTCTTAGAGGTGCCAAACATGCCTGTTATAGCCTGAATGACGTAGTGAAACAATAACTAAATCGTGTTCATGTCTCCAAAAATAAGCAGATGAACGAGCCCTTACTGATCAAATTAAATAATTGTTACGAAGATGTCGAAATGCAAGATCAGTAAGGCCCATTGACCTGCATATATTACATAATTTCCTCGTTTGAGTCCGCATGAGATGATGAAGATGCCCTATGATGTTGTCAAGTCAACTATGTACAAAACAAGTGAGGTTGTTCGATAGAGAAGAACGAATATTCCATAACTCATATGAGATTGCCTAAACCTCTTCACAGGCGATGGACGGGGACTATGTCTGCATTGCAACGGCTACACAGTACGCCGTCGTCTGCTGCAGGACGGGACACATTCAGGACTTGGTGCCGTACGATAGCGGGCACACCATCGGCTTCGTCAAACGTATCGCCAAGGTAACAATCGTTTTTGTTCACTTTTGCGATTTGAACTTGACGTGCCTGATGTTTCAGGCACATACTGAAAAAAGATGTACCGGGTGTTTGGGATGAAAGAGAACCACATTTCTCTCAGCACAAAAACAAACTAGTGTATGTCGCCAAACGCTCAGTCCCCTCCCACCCCCCCCCCCCTCCCCCAAACATAGCTCTAGCGATTTGGACGAGGTGACTGCGCTAGCGATTGGGACCAGGTGACTTAAAGTTTCAGAACTGACCATGGTTCGACTCAAAAGTTGCTAGCAATTTTCTAAATGTTCGACGGAAAAACGGGGCCCTGTCCCGTTAGCACACGTCATTCATCTCTACATATTCTGGGGAATCGTTTCGGCCATTCTCTCGTTTCCTAATCCTTGAATTGTCGTTTTTTTTGTGCTGGCATGCAGGACGAATTCCTGCTGAACGGTCCGAGCGACTTGGGGATCTTTGCAACGAGCGCAGGAGTCTCTCAACGTCCGCCGCTCCCGTGGGGCGCCTGCGTTTCGGCCGTGGCATACAGCCACCCGTACATCGTCTGCCTCGCGGAGGAGTCCGTTACGGTGTACAGGTCAGTTCGAACGTTCGCCTCGAAGTTGATGCAGTGTGGACTTGTAGATCCAAGACTCCTTTGGCACGCATTGGCGGACCGATAGCACAGGAAATTTTAACAAAAGTCAAGAGTAAACAGAGAGAGCCACGACAAAGAGCATGTTTAAGCCTGATTTGGTAAAACGAATCCGTTAGGATCACAGCCTTGAACCGAAATTTTGATCGGTTGGGCTCAGATTCCGGTTCACGGTTTTTGCTTCAGTTCCGGGGAGGAAAAACAACAGTTTAAACCAGTGTGAGCCGGTCTAAACTGCTAAATATATTGTATATTTTCCGCATTGTTTTGAAAATAGTAACTACATGGGCTGTATAGTTTCTTATCGTTTGTATGCAATCCACTTTTATTTTCAGGTACCAAGAATAGGAAATTTCGTTATTTAAATGGGTACAGAATCCAAACGACGGATTCTGGCAAGTGCTTCAAAATCAGCCATCGAGGCGGTGCAACGCCTCTCGAGATGTTTGCCCATGACGTTCCGCTTGCAACGTCATGGGCCCATAAACGGCCAAGGGTACCGTAATTACGATCACCATCACTAGGTGGCGCCAGCTTTATCGTCAACGCGTTACACTCCCACCAAGTGGGAATATTCGAGGTATGGTGTACTAGAACCGAGAGGTGTGCCAAGTGCCGCTCGTTCCCGGACACCTCCATCGAACACGTTGCGCCATGGCGCTGCTATTGATGGGCCTGTAACGTGAGATATTCCAATGAAGCTCAGCCTCCGCAACCACCAGGTGGTATTGGGGAATCGTTTTACTCATTTTAAAATTGCTTTTCTTGCATTTACAGACGAAAGACTGGTGTTTGTGAGCTGCTGTGATAAAAGGGACCACGTCTACACAAAGAAATGGGCGCTAAAATTTTGCTTCTATACTTTTTTAATGTCGACGAAGCAGTAAAAGAAAATCTAGATGAACATACAAAACGTTGTGTTTATAATCCTCAACATCCATTTGTGTGCCTCGGTCAGATATATTTTACCTGAATTGAAAGTGTGTTACTAAGTGTGGTAGGTCGCCTCACTTATCCTTGAGTAGTACAACTTTAAGTTGCAGCATTAAAAGTTTAATCATAGTTGTGCTCTTGAAAATTATGGAGCATAAAATCATGGAAGGGGCATATCGTTGCCATACATATTGTGAAATATTGTTTACGATATATGTTTCATAATATATATGAGGACGACGCAACTGAGCTAAAAGCAATAATATTTTCAATATCTCTCGAAAGTTTTAGGAACAGCCCTTTTACTCTACCTAATAAACACTGAGCGGCGATCACGATGCTTGTTTTCCTTACCAATATTGCTCACACTCAGCACCGTTATGCAGGCGAAGAATCATGCACAAAGGAGGGATCAAAATTGTTTCCTGTAATCTATATGCACCTTCATACTCAAATTGAAACTGACCTAAAATAGCACGTACCCAAGTGAACGTTTTCTTATACAGTGACGTCTCATTAATATGGACAGCTCCGTTCCCTCAAAAGCTCCTTCATAATGTGAGTTATCCATAAGAACGAGACAAAATGCATGCACTTTCCCCATTTCAGCCTCTTCGTCCTACATAAACATGTAGAACGGAGACGCGAAAAAGCGGCGGTGTTGTGCCCGAAAGATGATTATAAAAATATGTCATCAAGCACGCGCCGCTCACGCTCAAGTGCGGGAGTGTAATGTCACCGCCGGAGCGCCGTGTGCAAAAGGTGCACTTCGAACTTCATCTGTGCTTGTTGTGTGCTTCGTGCAATGGACTGTGAAGAGACCGCGTCTACATCTACGGCCTCGACATCGGCAGCAGCGTCTACATATACGGCAGCCTACACAGGCAAACGTTGCTGCCCACGTTTGCCTGTGTCGTCGCCCTCTAGGCGTCGTTCTCGACATCGTCCTAGAAGTTGTCATTGACATCGTCCTCTAAGACGTCATCCTCTACGTCGTTCTAGACACTGTTCTTGATGTTATTCTAGACATCGTCCTTCAGGTCGTCCAAGAGATTGTCCTTGGCGTCGTCCTAGACGCCATCCTTGACATCTTCCTCAACGTTGTCCTAGAGTTCATCCTAGACGCCATACTTGGAGTTGATCTCTAGGACATCATCCTCGATGTCATCCTATACGTCGTCCTAAACTTTATTATGTGTAGACACATTACTCGAAAACATTTCTCCCACGGGACTATAATGCTTTTGCCTTCCTACTCGTAAGCAGTCTTGAGTGTCCTTCTGTAATTTGTTTTATTTGCTACTGTGATGGCACCATTAATAGAATTGGTCAATTCTTAGTCCAACAAAGTTTGTGAGTTTAAGAAATCATCATGTGTTAGACCTCGGTCAGTACTGTCTGGGATTCCTCTCCGGCTTTTTTTTCATATCACCGTAAACTGTGTAATCCTAGCAATGAAATAATGCTTTGACGAAGGGACGTCTTCATTATAATATATAACAATACCTTTTGGCAAATGTCTTTAAAGGGGCCCTGCAATCATATTTAAGCGTTTACCTTTTTTGCGGTTTCCACGTCTCTTGGGGTTCGGGTAAGCCAGCGGGCACGGAGAGAGTAACTAAATATCAGTGCGTCATATTTTAACTGGACGACGCGGAAACCTCCTCCACCTACGGGGGCGACCTGCGGTGCCGAAAGCGCGAAATGTGACGTCTTTGGTCCTGGGCCTACTACTGGTCAAAGCCACTAAAAGCTTCCTTTTAGTCGAAATACAAAATATAAGTGGCTCAAACTGTTTCAATTATTTATAAAAGTAGCTTTTGGTCACTCTTTTAGATCAGAAAAGAAACAAATGCAGTTTATAAAGTATGGAAACAAGAAATGACCCGTTTACATACCCGCCACAAAGCGGTGGAAAAGGCGGCACATACTGGAAAGGTGTAGTGGGATCAGGCACCAACGGGCGGCGAGCGTAGAAAGGTTTCGGATGTACGCGGCGGCGCTGCGGTCGTATGGACTCAACAATCCGACCGGTTCCGAGCGTTCCCAAGGCCTTCGGCGAGCAGCTTTGGCTTACGTTTTGTCCTTTCGGCGTTATGGCAGCGCGAAGTGGCTCTCGTTCTGAACTGATCTTTATCCCGTGTTTGCTGTCATTTGTGGCCAATGAAGTGTCATGCCGAATTAGTGTTTAATCGCTCAGCAAATGCAATGAGAGCCACTCTGGCTGCCCGCCTCATACAGCCTATCCAGAACATGCTTTAGTGGCGCCCTCTCAAGCCGCCGACACGGAGTGCGGCAGCCGTGACTGCTCGCTGAGCTCACTATGTAGACACTGGTTCACGGCCACTCAAGCAACCAAGGACGTCATTAAGGAGATTATTTTTTTTTTTGTTTTTGTAATTCTAATTTGCCTATAACTTTTAAAATAAAGCGAAATTCGAGAAAAAAAAAAGTCTCATTAAGTTACTATGTTCAATGCACTCAGGTTCAGTGCAAATTAAAAACCAGTAAACAAGTCCTTGCAGGGCCTTAAGAAGGGCTCTGCAGGCCTTTTCGCAAGTTTTGTGAATTGCGTGGGCGAATCGACACCTGTGGGCCTACATGCTCTGGCTGTTGCCATGTTTATGACGTTGCAATGATGTTTTTCGTCCTTCAACACCAGCATCTTCGACCAGCAGCCCAAGCAACGCATTCCGTTCCGTGGCGGAACCTACATGGACAACTTTGAAGGGAAGCTACTTCTGTCAGGAAAGGACAGCCTGTTTGTGCTTCATCCAGTGCCCTGGGAAGCTCAGGCAAGTGTCCAAATCAGCTTCTTTAACAGCAGTAGACTCTCATTAATTCAAACTCTAGGATGCCACAAATTTTGTTTGAATTATTGAAAGTTTTGATTATCAGATTAGAAATTTATCTAAATAGTATGATACAAAATAAAGTTATGATTTGTTATATGGATATCTACACATACTAAGCAGATATTTGATGAGTTCCTCTAGGCAGGCCTACTAACCATAAGCAGTTAGGTCGCTTGTGAAACATTGGTGAAATGTATAAGACAGGTTTATTCATCTCTCAAAAATGTTTTCTATCGTGGACTGTTTAGACAGCACATGACACCTTGAAATAAAATAAAATTAGTTCATTCAAGAAAAAAGCTATCTATTGTGGACTTTTAGCCCTGTTGAAAGTACTTTTTATTGAGCACAGGTGCAGTGCGGAGAAGCAACACCTGCGGAAGCAAGCTTCACGAGTATTGCTTCTCCGCACTGCACCAGTACTCGGCAAGAAGCACTCTCAAAGGGGGTGCGAGAACAAAAAGTATGAATTAGTGGAAATCGACGTCCGAATTAAGCGGCTTATAAATACGTTTGAAACATAATGGGACAACCGAAATTTTGAAACTTTTTGAATGAACCAGAAGAACTAAATAGCTGAGTTTGAAATATTGCGAGCTTACTGCACTAGAATGCTGTTAACTCTTTGACGGTTAAGTTTTTTTCCCCAAAAAATGTTTCCCAGTGGTCCGGTTTTGTTTGCAAAGGAATAGTATATAGAAAAAGTCAATGCACAGGTTTTTTTCCTTATTGTCTAGCAAGGGCACGTACAGTGCTTGTAAGCTGCTTAGCTTTAAAAGCATGTAATCAAAATATTGCAGGCAAAAAGGTGTCTCCTTTTTTTCATTCGGTTTCGTTTGGGTGCATACACTTCCACGAGGCTCCAGCGGCTTCAGGTTCCTTACCTGAGGTACTTAAGGAACTTCTCCATCGGATGATGAGCTCTCATTCTCAAAATCCAATTCCGAAAAGCGTTGTAAGACCGAATCGAAAGAGCCAGTGCTCCCATGGGCACTACTGCCAGAGTGGCCGCTGTGCAAAGTGTGCCTTGTCCGTGGAGCATATTATGTGAAAACCTTAATAGTCCAGCAAAACAAAAGAACATGCGAATTTAACGATTATAGTTCTCCGAAGACATGACAAATAACAACACCTTCCACAATGTGTGCAGTTTCGCATTTCGGCAGGCGCTTTAAAATGTGTAATCACCGCTGTACATGTCGGCAATGACCGTCAAAAGGTTAAGGGCCTTGTTTTTTGGGCTCCAATATTTCACAGGTTTGGGTGCTGGGAACTTTTGAAAACTTCACATTTTTGACAGGGATTCCCCCAAACATACTCTCGCAGAAACCTGCTTGAGATAAATGTTATGTTATGATCAAGAGCATCTTTTGTTTGTTTTTTCTGTAATTTGGTTGGTGCTGAAACGGGCCAGTGTTGGAGACACCAACGCTAACTGCTTTGTTTTCAAGATTTCTACAGCTTTATTTCTTAATGCCGAAGTGTAGGCTAGGGCTGTGCTTCCCTCGTACAAACCTAGGATCCTTATTTATTTCTTTGTTTTAATACTTCTTTCAAAGTTAGACAAGTATTTTAGTGCTAGTTGGACCTTTCCACTAAAGCTGCGTAGTGGACAGTGCTTGGCCCCGGAAAATGAGCCTATCGTAAACCTGCGGCTGTACAGGTCTCGAACCCAAATTCCGCTGGCTTGGCACAGCTCACCCACCACTCGCCCCCTCCATTCTCTGGAGTCTTTCGGACATGTACCGGCGGTAGAATATATTTTGTCCATGGCATGTTGCTGGTGTTTCGAAAAACAAAGTACCGTATTTTCCGGACTATAGCCCCCACCCGGTGTATAGTCCGGAAGGGCAAATTTTGGGTTGAAAATAAAAGATACCACTTAGATAGTCCACAGCCGGTGCATAGTCCACACCCGGTGCATAGCTTGCATGCCGCGCATTTCCGCACTTAGTGCCTAATCTGAACGTAAAAATTATCATACTCAGTGCACCTTGACAAATGCCTGCCGTATTAGCCAACAAAGAAGCCCCTATCAAACATAATTCACTATTAATATACTCCGTTATTCATAATATCCTTCGTGTCTTGTCATAAGGAATGATCTAGAAAAAAACAAATCCCCGTATAGTCCACACCTGTAGATAGTCTGTACTGGGTGAAATTTAAACTTTTAAACATGTATAGTCCACGGACTATAGTCCGGAAAATACGGTACCTCAAGTGCTGGGAAATTGCAAAGCGTCGTCGTTTCACACCCTTATTGTTCGCTTCCTCACGTCTTCCCCGGTTGCCGTCGCTCAGGTGCAAGCGTTGCTCGCCGACGAAAAAGTCACGGAAGCCCTCGAACTGGCCAGGCATTCCAACAAGAGCGGGCTTTCCCTGGAACAGAACAAACAGGTACTGTGTGACGAGCGCTTCAGAACGAGCCGCGTCGCGAGCGGCTGCGACCGCGTCTTTCCGACGTCGCCGCAACGTTTCACCAGCGAGCGCCGGCCGGCACGTTTCCACTCTAGAAGAATTTTGTTTGTCGCACCGTAACAAAGACATGACGCCCCTTGGAGCAGTTACAGGGATTCTGAACCAAACATTTCAGTGTCTGTAATAAGTGGTGCACGATCTTTCCACGAGCCAGCAGTCGCCGGTGTGCATAGGTGTGCGCAACGAAATTGACGTCATCATATCCCCCGTTCAAGCGTGACGTCAGTTTTGTTGTACGTTGGCTCGCACACACCGGCGGCTGCTGGCTCGTGAGAAGATTGTGTGCCATTTATTATAGGCACTGAAATGTTTGGTTCAGCATTCCTTTCAAGGGAGTTTACAACGATTTCTGGATTTCGGTCAAAAATTTGTGGAAGTTTCCCTCTGACGCCTCTGAAGTAAAGAACAGAAAACCGATTTCGCCTGCGTGTCCTAGTTGTTGTGCGAAAAAAATAATAAATACTATTGGCATTTCTGGCACCCCTTATCTCACTCCCAGTCTTCAAGGTCACACCTGTTCGCACTCCTAGTGACGTAATTCAAGGTGCCGTGTAGGCTCTCGTGTGCTCTCTCGGAGGACGCTTCCTCTCCCTCTCTCTGCGTTATGCGTTATGCTGCAGCTTAGAGCCGAGCGCGGTCACGTAAGCTTCTCGCCCTAGTTCCTTCGGCCGCCACTCGCGGCTGCAGGTAGGGAAAAAAGCTCGACTTGTGCTTTGCGATTATGCAGCGGAATCGCGACATATTTTAATGGAGGACGTGTTTTCTCTATTCTCCGGGCATGATGAACAACGTAAAAATTGCGAGATGCAAATTCTTTTACCCTTAAAATCATTGCACCCCCCCCTTTAAAGCTTAATGCGTTAACAGTATTCATTCTTCATAGTCTGCCACATTTACCATGGTCGCTGGCAAGGGGAGAACGGAAGGGAGGAACTTTGGTCGTCCCCGCCTCCAGTGCAAGCTTTCTACTTTTGACAGTGCTTCGGCATTTTGTGCACCTCAAGTGCAAGGTCGAAGGTCCAAAGCGCGCCGGGAAACGTGGAACGCATGCCGGAGGTCGTACATTTCAGAGACGCGCCCCAATCGCTCTCTTTCCATTGGCAGGCGCCCTGGCGCAGCGTCGTCTTCTCGGAAACGATGGTGCACCATTTTATCGGGCCTTTTAAAGAGACCGTCAAATAAACTTCGGGCAGAGATAAACAATTTTATTTTACGTCTGGATTTTTACTAATCGCATGTCGTTTAGTGGGCCAAGGGAAGGAGGCTAGAAAGTCAAAAGCCTGCTTTTCGGTACGAAAATGCGAAAATATGGCGGACTCTTTCGTACCTCCTCTCCTTCGAAAGGTCTCCGCCTTTCCGCTGCGAAGCGATTGCGGCACCCAAAGCATGTTGGCCGATCCCAGCTCGCGCATTGGATGCGAGCACCGCGTTGCTCGGACATATGCGCCCGTCGACGATCCATTTGTCGACGCACGTGTGGATTCGTGTTTGTGGCCGACAAGTGTCGTGTCGGCACTTATTGTCGCTTGCGAAGGACAAGTTCCACGGTGTGCAAAAGCACGGTGGAAGCTCAGAGTCATTGCATCCAGTGCCCTGGCACGTCGGGTGGAGCCCGAAACAACCCATTCCCGTTTGAACCCGTCCCGTTTTGACCCATTCCCGAAACGACCTTCCCGTTTGAACCCGTCCCGTTTCGACCCATTCCCGAAACAACCTTCCCGTTTGAACCTGTCCCGTTTCAACCCGTTCCCGAAACGCCCTTGATATTTGAACCCGTAGCCAAGACATAGTTTACGTTTGAATTGTCCCGTTTAAACCTGTTAATTGGTAGAAAACCCCGCGCATCTCAACCTCTTCGGAAAAAGTGTCCATCGTTCTAATCCTGGTTTGCGCAGTTTTTCTGCTTAAGAATATGTCCCGAAATCATGTTAATGCAATTAATAAAAAGGTGCAGGCGAGCAATTCAGTTATGTTGTGAAATATTTTTGCTTGTAAACGTATTATTAAAATATGCAATACTTTCAGACAAGCTTCAAGGAAATAAATTTCTACTTGAACCACTTAAAATGTTTCTTTCAAGATGGTCCCCAAGATGTGTAATTACGAAATGGACTATGTACACTGCGCGACAACCTTACCACGAACACGATCTTGGCGATTTTTTGAATTTTACTTCGAAATGTTATTAGAAAGTATCGCATATTACCGCTTAGGTTAGTGGCCCAGATGGGCACTTTCAAATACACTTGTAATATTGATGGCAGTCTTCTGATTTTTTTGTAGACAAACAGCTAAAACCAACGATCACTTGTTCGCGCTAACGGTTTCGCGCTCTGTACGATAACAGGGAGCTTTCGTAGACCTTTTTCGAAGTCACGCGACGCTCCTTCGCAGCCCGCTACGATACCCAGAACTCTACAGTCAAGGCCATCGGCGCGCAGGCGCAGTATCGGCTTCTTCGTTGGGGAGAGCTTAGCGAAAGGGGAAACGCGGTCTACGAAAGCACCTAATGAAGTCTTAGAGTAACGCAGGCAAGCACTTTGAGTAAGCACAAATTAGCGTTGCCTAAGTTTTTATATTGCGACGCTATTTTTAGGTTACCCAAAACGCTTACGTGCGTTATTCTAAAACTTCCTTATAGTGAATGGGATACTTTTTAAAAGTGATAAATCATACAGGCTCACGAGCATATAATTGCGACTTCATTTTTTTTATAAGTTTAAACACAGAACCGTCGCGTACACAGCCAAAAATCATAAACCACAAAATGCTGTCACCTTGGGTGAGGAAGTCGAGAAGGAAAATCGCTCCATCAGAAAGGCGACACTCCAATTGTGATAGTTCGCGGCGGTCACCTGGCCCGCACGGCACCACCATTTGCAAGCTGCTGCAGCGATATCCTTCTCAAGGATCGTCCCGTTTGCAGGTCGGTGAAGTTGTAAATGTTCGGGTGAGCCCTCCCTGACACAGCGTTTTTCTTACGGTGCCATGTCTCCGAGGTTGTTTCGGGAGAGGGAGAAGTGATGTGAGCAAGGAAAACAGACATTTAACACTTGAACCTAATCAACCGTTAACGAACAATACAAACTAACCAAACGATGGCCGAAGCGGGAAAGTTGTTTCGGGAAAGGGCGAAATGGGAAAGGATGAAACGGGAAGGTCGTTTTCAGATGGGTCGAAACGGGAAAGGATGAAACGGGAAGGTCGTTTTGAGACGGGTCGAAACGGGAAGGTACAAACGGGAAGGTTGTTTCGGGAATGGGTCAAAACGGGAACCACCCGGCACGTCATGACCACGTGATTTCTCATTTCGCTTTTGTGTGGCGGATTAAAGCTATGGAGGAAGATGTTCCAAGATACTTTCGTGGTCCCTGTAAAGGAAGTATTTTAAACGCGTAATGTGTTCTGGTGCGTCGTTTCCCGCAAGAAAATTGTCGCGAACGAGCGTCGTAAAGACCGTCGTAGCAAGCGCCTCGAATGAGTGACACGTTGGGAGCGTTACGTACATTAAGGTTTTATGTAAAGCTGATGTATAAAGTTCGAGCCCCGGCAAGGCTCGAACCTGGGTCGGCACGGTGGCAGCCTGATACTATGGCCACTGAATTATTAGCGCAGCTGCTCTGGAGAGATAAATGATTTTTATTTCGATTTAAACTTGCCGTAGAGAGCTTCAGGTTTCGGGTGGAAATAATAGCTGATACAAATAAAAATGCGTAACAAAATAAATAATAAAAAAAACAGTAAAATCATAAAATTAAGTAATAGCCACAAAATAATACAATAAAAATACTTCAAGTTAAAAAAAATAAAAATAGGTAAAACAAAGATTGAAAAGTCCTGCACAAACGACACACGGTGTGTGGTTTGTGCGGTATACATTATGTGCTCCCCCGTCTTTGTCAGCGTAATCAAAGCTCTACATTTTTAAAGGGGCAATGCAATAATTTTAACTTTGTAAGAAGTTGCAGTTTCTAATTTTTACATTGTTCATCCTATTAAAAGAGATGGAGAAACGACCTTACTCTTTTGAAATTTCATGACTCCGTTGCGTAATAGCAAAGCAAAGAACGGGAATATTTCACGATTTGCAGCCTCGGGGTGGCTGCCATGGGAGCTAAGGCGTCACGGACTCCTGGGGACATTGCAATAAGTTGGCAAGATGTGCCATTTTGTGCTCGGATAAATATTGTCGTTTCAACATGAGTAAATGCATTGAAAACCTCATATCATTGACAAACTTGTACTATATTCAGTCTTAGTGGCGCCATCTGGCCTGGGTGAAAAAAACTATCTCTTCTTTAGCCTCGCACCATGGGATCACACTTTTCCGAGGTGCAGTGGGGGACAGCGGGGCTATTTTTTAATGAGCCATCCACAGACCATCGCCGCGAAGCGGCAAAAACGGGGGGGGGGGGCCGGGTGGGTTAACACGCACCTCGGTGATACACCCCCTGTACCCCATTGCACCTTCAAAAAGTGTGACCCCACCCCGTGCAAGTATGTCAGTTTAAATTCCTTACAACAAGGCTCGCGTTTCGCCCCCCAGTCCTTTCTCTCCACATCGCTCGGACCGGGCTTAGACCAACCGTCAGGGTTGCCATGTCAATTGCAAGCAGAGGCCGTGCGCGCTGGAGGCTTCGAAAGAGAACCCAACTGGATTCTCCATGTCCCCATTGTATGGAGGCGCCCAAAACGTCAATTGTTTGACATTCAAAAAAAAAATAACTAACACGCACAACAAAATTTTATTTTCAGTTCTTTAATCCAGACAGGAGAGGGAACAACTATCACAATTATTTGACCAAAGTCTAAACATTGTTGCTCCAAACTCCAAATTTGAAAAAAAAAAAAAAATATATATATACAGTGTAATCCACTTATAACGATACCAGATATAACGATATATCGCTTATAGCGATCAAATTTTTTAGATTTGATCGCTATTTTTTTAGATTTGATTTGATCCAGATATAACGATAATCGGCTATAACGATTGGATTTTGCGGTTTTCTCAATATCGTTATAAGTGGACTGCACTGTATATATATATATATATATATATATATATATATATATATATATATATATATTATTGAAAGTTTTAAAATTCGAAATGTAGAGACTTGGTCACATAAAATGCTGTCAAGAAATTTTGGTACTACTGTGTGTCGTCGGCACAAGCTTAGCTTGAGATGAGTGATGTAACATTTCGATGTAACAATAACAACCCCACTTCTTAGTTTGACATGACCCTAATTACGTCCATGATGCTTTCTCTTCCTTCACTACAGGTGAAGCAAGCAGACCCCAATCTGTTTCTATGTAATGTGTTGTGGATGCTTGCTCTTGCAGGTCTTAAAGAGGATACACCTGCAGGCGGGTTTCATCGAATTCTCTCAGCAGCGCTTCGAAGAAGCCAGGCAGCTCTTTCTGGAAGGAGGGCTCGACGTGAGAGAGGTGAGTTTTGTGGCCGCTGTCTGACGGTATGACGGGGCGCATTTGATCTGTTTGGGAAAAAGAATGGTGCGTGGTTTTGTTTGGGTCAGGTGCGGGGTTGCCTCCTGTAGTATTTGGTTGTCATCCTCTTCATATATAGAGGCGAAGCTTCTTAGGGTCTAGCCTTTTCCGGCGTCCGTGCTCACATCGATTGCCATCCCATCTGTCTTCTTAAAAAAAGAAAAAATGTTTGCACAGTCGACAGGATTCGAACCTGTGCGGGGAGACCCCAATGGATTTCTAGTCCATCGCCTTAATCACTCGGCCACGACTGCGGGACGAGTAGGGGGCTCTGAGATGTGGTAGTAACTCTGGGGATGTCATGGATGAAATGTTGCATGTAGCCACTTAACGTCTATGCAGGAGAGGGCACTACGGTCAAATGCGTTTATAATTGCGTTAAACTTCGCTTGCATTGGCTCAACGTTTATAGACGAGAGGGCGCTGCGGTCAAATGCTCAAATGCGTATATAACCACGTTCCATACCACACATTTTCTTTCTGACATGGATGAAAACGAACGAAAAGCTCTGCATGCTGCGGCTCAGCGTCTACGCAGACAGCAAGCTGCTCCGGAGAGGATAAAAAAGAATCAACACCGTCAGCACTACCTATGAACAAAATCGGTATCATCAGCACCACCAGAGCTTTGCCCCAATCAACATCATTCACCACGTGGAGATGCAGTCGTTCTTTTTTTTTTGCTCCCGGCATAGAAAGACATCGGATGCATGATGTTGATGAATGCCACCATTTGCCTACTGAGGACCGTACGGTCAGATGAATTTTCACATCAATGAGCCCGTGCGTGACCACATCCTTTGCGAGCGACAACGAGATCACCGTGGCCCATCTACGTGGCAGATTGATCCCTTGTGATGTGGCCTTCTACGTGTTCAATAAAGGAACCCAGTGCATCATGTTGCGTGGTGCCACACGTGACCATATGCCACGCAAGCATACGTCATGTCACCCCACATGGCCCCATATCGCACGACGTAATGCATGATTATGTGTCGTATGTCGTCGTACATGGCCCCGTGCCACACAATACTACCACACAGTTTTGCATTTTACGTCATCTTGCATCACCCCACGTCATACGACGACGCCATGCGCGACCATGTGTTTCTCAATGTGGTACCATGTCCCACAACGTGGCTTTATGAAAGTGCACTGTACCGCGTCATTTGGCACGTGCAAGACTTGAAGGTCACTGAAAATGTGCATGCTTTTCTGTCCAGTTGATCTGCCTTTACCCAGACCTGCTAGCCGCTTCGTCTGCATTCACCAGGGCCTCCCCAAGGCTCCACGACGTGGATGATGTTGTGCGCCTATGTCGGAGTCAACCCGAGCCGCTTTCGAGGTTCTACCAGTTCCTTATGTCCTACCTGGAAACCGCGCGGCACACAGATACGGAATGTAGGATGGTAAGTGTTCCACCCCTCTTTGCCTAAACTCTTCTGACGTGCAAGTCTCAATTTTAAGATGGGAGAAAGGTGGTAAGCTGGTCTAGTTTGTGATTGTTAAACATATTAAAAAACAGAGCTTATAAGAGCTGGACAAAGAGAAGGAATGCAGCTTGTCCGGTCCTTTTGGACGCTGTTTTTCATTATGCTTAAGATAAGGGCTTTATGCATATTTATTTGCTAGGTACGACAGAAATGTGATGGTCGAATTTGTAGTCTCGTAGGCTTCGTCAAACTACTAGGTATTCGTGTGTGTCTAAAGTATGCTGTACCTGACAGTCGCATTAAGTGTTCTGAAGCTTGAAGCAGTAAAAACTACAAAAAAAGGTGTGGTAATGAACTACCTGAAAATATGCGGAATCTATGCAGTGGTACACAATAATGCGTACTCGATTTGATGGATCGCATGAATTGATGGCTTCTCTCCAGGAGTTGTAATCATTCTTGTGGCTGTGATTTCGTGGTGGACGTACATCTCTGAATTTGCAATGTTGGGCATTGCATGGGCTAAGGATTAAAAAAAACAAAAAACAAGAAGTGCAGTTTTTTTGTGACCACTTAGCCTGCTAGGCCATTTACACACCCAGTTTGAGTAATTTTAACTTTTTTTCCAGAGACGAGGCATTTATGTTTTGCAAAGATACAGCTTTTGAATACCAGTCACCTAGGCTTTTCTCCTCTACGGTATTTTCATAAAAGTGGACGTTATGGCAGCTTTCAACTTTGGTTTCATTTTTGATACTCCCCTTCCCCCCCAAAAAAAAATTTCTAATGACACATGCTGGAAATTTAAAGACATTAAAGCCCGTTGCTCGTCACTGTATCCCAAATGCTGGAAATTTAAAGACATTAAAGCCCGTTGCTCGTCATTGTATCCCCAATGCTGGTTCACACACTGGCACCATCTACATCAGGTAGCCCCGGTACTGCGTATTAACTAGACCAAAGGTCCTGCAGTTTTTGCGAGATCGAATCTGTGCACTGTTTATGAGAGACGGTCGCTTATTACTTTGTCAGTGCTATTTCAAGCCCGCGAGAAGTGAATAATGAAAAAAAGAAAATTATGAGAATGTATGAGTGTCAAAAGTTTCGTTGGCTCACTTATAGATAGCACCAGCGTGTGTTTTCTCGTCATAAGCAGTTGAAAGGAAATGCAATTGCACTCAAACGCAAATGTTTGAATCAACCTTAAGCGTCATTTCAATTCGGTGTAAATATTCTAGGGATGGGGCGAAACTCCGAAGGTTCGGTTTTGGACTGTTTCGGAAGATTCCGAAACTCTTTGGATCAAATTTCGGTTGTTTCGAACAGTCAGCAGTTTCGCTGCCATCTAGCCAACATGGCATTGTTCCTTTTGGTTTTGTGGACATTGTGAGTATTTAAAGACTCTAAACCAATTGATACAGACTGAAATTTGATAAATTTTTTTACCAGGTTGCCTGCAGTGTGGGGGGGATCTTCATAGATCCTACGTTCCCATGCTGAGGCTTGTGGGCGCATTCTAGATCCGTGCTCAAAGTGACGGCCAAACTGACGGCAAGAGCTCAACAAGCAAAGCTCTATGGTAGCAAACGTTTTGGTCACGAATCACGATTCACTGATTATTGATTTTATTTCCACTCTGGAAACGCGCTGCCACTCGTCTTCGGCAGAACACTCTGTGTGAAAGGCGCCTAACAGTGACGCACGAGCAGTGAACGTCTTGGGGTAAGCAATGGATTAGCATCTTTCTGAGGAAAATAGGATTAAGTTACATAGCCACTGCATCAGATAGTGACGGGAAATGAAGCAAACCTTGTTAATCTGTGATGTGCAAAAAGCTTTAGCCTTGCTAAGGTCTGTCACCGCCATTTGTTTGCAGCCCGTGCTGCTGTGAAAAATAGTCTCTCAGTGCGTCCCCTTGGAAACCTATGTAACTACCTGTGTTGGTGGCACGCTTATCAAGTTCGTTGGATCCAACTGTACCTAGATCAGCAGTATTTATTTCTTATGATACACATATACTGTACAGAAGGTTTCGGACAGCACTGGCGCATATTCTCGATTGCATAACACAGGTGTCGGAGGTCTTCCAACGTAGCCACTTCCACACGCAATCTGTGTTATGTCCACGTAAAGCGCAACTTTCCCGACACTTAAAATAAGCACCACTAACGTCGCTGAGCTATCGGAAACTTAGCAAACCGTTACCATGTACCACATACCACACCGTTGGAGCCCATGAGGTCCCGCAGTCACAGTATCACCCAGGCGCACGCTTAAAAGCATGCTTTAGAGGCTCCAGTTGTGCGGTACATGGAGCACGGTAAAGGTCCTAAAGGTCCCTCTTGATGCAAAGAGAACGAGCATTGCGATCTGTGATAATTGATTTCACCTACTTGCCCGCTTGTTTTTGGTTACATGACGACGTGACTATGCAAGTTGGGAAATCGAAACCATTTTGACCACGACACGCAACCTTGACGTTTTGTGTCGCATCGTCCGTTGTTTTACTTCTCCAAGTTTCAAATTTTATCTGACCAAGCCTATTTTGTTAAATTAAGTATTTATATTAATTTCAAATATTTCACGTGGTTTATAACATTGTTTTGTTAAAAAAAGTTGCAGCGCTCAATAATGTGGTCTGGACACTCTGGCAATGCTCCGAAACTCTCCGAACCTATCTGAAACGCATTATTATTCGGCAGTTCTCCCGAAACTTTCCGAAATCCCTGTTTACGGACCGAAGCCTTTTCCGGTAAAAGTTTCGCTCCATCGCTAGTTATTACAAACCAACGTGGCTCTACCAAGTCTCTGTATGTGCAGTTATAGGTATCAATCGTTTCCACACTTCGGTCGCCGCGAATACTGGCAACAATACGAAATATCACTAAAACAATGTTTTCCTTTCTTTTTTCTTTTTTTTTTTCTTAATGCCCGTTCGCACTCTTGCGACCTCTTAGAACTGGGTGCCTTGAAACCTCTTACAACGAGAGGACACACTGGTGCCATCTATTGGGTAGCAGCGTAAACTTGGCGGTCCGGCATGTTTTCCATTTCTCTCGCGCATTATCCTTTCTTTGTTGGCTCGAAAAACTTTTGTCAACGTTATAAACGAGACTTTCTCATAGGTATTGCCCACATTTGACCTCGGGAATCCCGCAAAACCTTTGCTCTTGTGAAATGCAGTTCCAGGGTCACCGCATAGATGGCGCCAGAATGGCAGTGTGTTTCCTCGTCCTAAGATATTTTAAGAGGTTTCTACAGGTCTCGTCTTTCTCGGTCGTACTCGGTTGCAAGAGTGTGAACGGGCCTTAGAATGCGAGATTTCGTCGAGCTTTTAGAACATGTTCTTGTCGGGTTTCTTTTTTTTTTTACCCCGTGTCGCAACTGGTGCGTCCCGCGCCCGAGCCTTTTTTGGTTTATGCGGGCATTAATCTGTATACAGTTAAAAATTGTAAAAGTATGATAATACAGCCTAAATTGGTTATAACAGACCCTGATAGTGACCAAGATTTCGGTCTGTTGTAAAAGGAGTATGCTGTGTGCAGATACGAAGTTGAACCAATGGTACAGATAGGAAAACTAACCGAACTTCAGAAAGCAGTATGTTATTTCCGAATGTCTGTTGGGACGAGTTTGTACTGTATGTTGTGTCATATCGTAGTGACAGTCCAACGTTGTTGTTGTTGTTGCTTTTTGCAGGAGGTCAACACGGCCCTGATCAAGCTGTATGCATCGACGGGGGACCACGACGCGAGGCTGGCGTCGTTCCTGCAGACGGACGGAGGCACATGCTGCGACCTGGCAGACTCGGCCCAGTTCCTCAAGAAGCACGGCAAGTTCCACGCAGCCGCGCTGCTCTACGACGCGCACAAGGAGCACGAAAGCTGCCTTCGCCTCTGGTCAAGGTGAGGCAGAATGCCCCTTCCGCAGTTCGGTGCCGTTCCCCCAGTCGGTGCGCGTCGCGCAGCTCTGAGCGGGTTATTTTTCGTGTCGTCGCCCACCTAAGGACGTAATACCGAGTTCCCATTTGCTTTTTATTTATTTATTTATTTGATTTATTTCAGACCACCCCATGCATGAGACATTGTTGCAGAAGAAAAGTATGTCTGCCGTTTGGTAGCAAAATGAATTCTGAATGTGGACCAGGGTGTAAGATAGACAGGTGGGGAAATGAGAGCCAATAGAGCGACCGGATTGTGTCCCCCTCGGGTTTCTCTTTTTCTGTGGCGCCATCTATGTGGAGCACCGCGAACTCTCACTCCGGGTGGGCGAACGGTGGCGACCTGCAAAACTGACGGAGAAGGTTTCTCATGGATTTTCAATGGAGGACTGTCGTGCTCTCGGTTTATTTTGCGCACTCTCCCATAGAGTTCCATGCAAATTCGATTCCAATTTTTTTCTTCTCGCCGCAGCGCCATCTGTCGCAAATCGGGCTTACCCGCAAGCAGACGAGTACACAATCCGGTCACGGCGCTGCGGTAGGTTTCAATGGGCCGTTTCCCCACCCGTCTATCTTACACCCCGATGCGGACGCAGACATACGAAGACTCTGAGACTCTGTTAACAGGGAGAGAGAAGCAGTAGGGTGTGTGAAATGGGGTTAGAATTGAATAGCGTGGTGCCATTCGTAGCCTTCACAGTGCAAGGAAACGCCATGGCAAACAACTTTTTGAACAGTGTTAAAGCTATAAATGACACTGCACCGTCCGTATCAAACCATTATTTTCACACCCCTAATGAACAGCATGATGTCCTACAATGCAAGAAACTAATTAACGTCGGTCTCACAAACATAAATTAAAAAAGGAATCATTGGAAAGCATTGAAACAATATCAATTGGTAGCTGATCCTTTCTTCAGTTGTATACAGAAGAAATGATTACCGTAATATCCCAAAACATGCCCCACCGCCGAAAGGTAGCCCACCCCTATTTTTGACATGATTTTTTTTTTTTTTTTTAAAACACCGAAAGATAGTTTTTTTTTTTTTTTTAGTAATTGCAGCACCCTTGCCAACAGTGACCTCGGCCAATATGGGGTTACTATGGTGGGAAATAAGCAAACATTGCTGACTGGGACGATTGTCTATGCTCTAGTTGCCCCTCAACGTGAAAACAAATTTGGCAGCTCGCAGAGCGCAAAAATAGCATTTTTAATATTTTTTTCGATCGCACACCAAAAGTTAGCCCACTCCTCATTTTCACCCGATTTGCTCTCACTCTTAGGTGGGCCGTCTCTCGGGACATTACAATATGTTGGAAAGCATCAATTCCGCAGCTGAATTTTCTGATTGTGCAGGCGTGATCCGACCATTGTAAAACAGATTTTTATGTTTTTTTTCTGAAGACCCATTCACACGGTTGCATTTGACTATATTTTGGGGACATATTGACGTCTGACTGTGAGTTGCCGCATAAAGCATAGGTACCGTAATTATCCAATTCTTTGCTTGCATCCTTTTTGAAGGAAAATGTACTTAAAAACTGCCTGCACGTTAAATCGGATACGAAATCGAAATTAGAGGCCTGTTAGGATCATTCTTGAATATAAAAGCTGGGTGCACCTTAAATTGGGGGGAACTTTTGAATAGAATAAATACGGAAACTAAAAGTCTCATTTCGACGTAAGCATCCGCAACGCAATCGGACGTAGTGAAGCGCCACCCTATGAATGGGTCCAGCCACGAGAACCACTACGTCGTCGCCGTGTGACACTGCGTTTCGACTGCTGCGTCACATTTAAACGGCGTTCGCTGAGCCGGAGCACGTAGGAGCAGTGTGTAACATTAATTGAAAGCAAGATTAACAGTAAGTTGTTCAGCAATGCCCCTTTTGTCCTTTTGCAGTATTTTGTCCGGCGAGATTGAAGACAAGATGTTTCCAGGACTCGCCTTTTACGTCGACTATCTCTCCAGGTACTGGTCAACTTTTCGGTCATACCTAGGACTGGTAGAAGGTTTCTGTATGTTTGGAATGTTTCTTTCATGCTTGAAATAACTCGCTACCGACATACCCTATGTCATAACACTGAAGTGCTGCCACCTTACGGTGTGCTATCGCTTACAAAAGGTCTTCATATTAGAAGCTTTCATATTAGCCTTGACCTTCATATTAGAAGAAAATGCCACCAGGCACCAGTCAAGGCTGTTCCACACGCACTTGCAACTGCTTACGACCGTCTGCCTAAAAACGTCATAAAATTGCATCATCATCATCATTAAAACATGATGATGATGATGATCGTTTACAACGAGAGAAGAAACCGGTGTGTTCTATCGTTTAGCCGTAAAACACTCCTCAATTTGTTTTTTTTTGTTTTTTTGTGCATTTTTTTTTTTTTTTTGCTCGAAAAACTTTTGACATTGCTGTAGACTACCATTTTTTATTGGTAGTTATGTACATTTGATCTCGCAAACACCACAAAACCTTTGGTCTAGCTAAATGCAGTTCGAGGGTCATCCAATACACCTTTTCCGTCTAACCTCGACCCAGCGCGTAACGTGCGTAGCCTCGACTCGGCGACTCGGCGCACAGCGGGAATAGTTCTTCCGGTTCTAACACTTCCGGTATGCGGGAGCAGGCCTAGCCGGCTGGCAAGATGCTGAAGTGGTGCGCGTTAAACGGGTTTTGAAGCCCTTGACAGCGAAGTGAGTTGTAATAAGGTGGGTTAATACGTCGATGTATCATGTCCGCGCATATTTGGTCATCGGGCTGCCACTGCGCAGTCGTTGGCTGCAGCAGCAATATCCGAAAACGGAAGATAGCGCGCGACAAATTGTGCACCGAACACAAGAAGTCTCAAAGCGAATGCGGCTGTAACGTATACACTTTGCACCGCTTCCCCGCTGATATCAGCGGGGAAGCTATGCAATATCAGCACATAAAAAAAGCAAATAGGCAGTATAGAAACGGACATCTACAAGTGCAGTAATAGGCCTCGATAAGTCAAATGCAGAACGAATTTTGCAGCTTGTGGTGCAAATGTAAGACCCTGGGTGTAATGATTGTTATTGTCTACTCATGTTTTGCTTTTCATTCCGTTCATTCCTACGAGGATGTGCACTATAATTTTGTGTGTTGCTCGGTAGCGACGCCCGTTAAAGTACGTTAATGGAAACAATACGAAAAGAGGGCGCAAAATCGTCGTCGTCCTCCCCCCCCCCCCCCCCCTTTCACCCCCATCTCCTGAATAGTTCCGAAGCATCTGGGCGTCATACGAAGTAGAGATGTCCTGGTAACTAGCGATCGTACCTCGACGGTGCACCATAATAATAAACCGTTCGGCCCGCATCGCCAACTCCCATTGTGAGTATTTCTACGATTAAACGATGATACTTCTATGCCCCAGGGTCGCCCTCGCTCGCGCATAGAAACCATCCGTTAATCATTCGCAGAAGGCAGTCATTCTTCACAAACAACAACACGCGAAGAGTAAACACTGGTAAACGTCCTCAGGAAAAGTGAACATGCCTCCGATTGCGATTACCGCTGACGCTGGCGACGAACCTCTCGGTGCTGTTGGCGCAACAACGGGCACCATGAAGGCGAATAAACACGCCAGAACACAAGAGTAATTCACGCTTTCAATAACAAACAAATTAAGAACTCACTAAAGGGAAAACCATGAAGATAAGATGCACGGGGTCAATGGGGACAACGCGGGAGCTAGGAACAACGCTGCTCTCCGCATACCAAAATGGACGCACAACAGCCGTATGCCAGACGCCAGACGGCGCGGCTGTCGCTGCAACACGCAAGATGGCGACGACTACGCGGAAAAGGTGTATAGATGGCTTCGTCGTAGTCCGCACTCACACTACGCATGCGCAACTCTCCTCCTTCCCTCTATCCAACAGCTGCGCGTTACTCTCTCCGCTCTCTCTCTCTACCAGCTGCGTGCACTTCGCGTGCGTTCGCTTCTACTCACACCGCGCGCGCATGCGCAACTCTCCTCCTCTAGTCTCCTCTCCTTCAAGTAGCAGCGGTAGTGCGCTGCGCGCTTTCAGTTCACCGCTGCCAACGCCTCGTGCATTTCGTTGTACTTGCGCTTCAGTCCTTTTCGTTTCGCTGTCTCCGCATCGCCGGCGTCGTCTGCTAGCGGAGGAAACGGCACTACGATCTTGGTAGTGTCGCTAGGCATGAACGGAGCGCCGAACCTCAAGTGCACACCTCAAGTACTAGACGCTGCTCAATAAAGACCTTCTTTAACCGTTCCACCTTCGTCTACGCAAATCAAAAAAATTACACCATCTTCCCGAGGGGAACCAGGGGTGATGCGGAGCATCGCGGAGTTTCCAACAACGTTCACGCGATGTGTGGTAACCAACGCAAGTTAACAACGTAATAACACGCAAGTTAACAACGTTACTAACAACGTTACTAACACCGTTAATAACACGGGTAATAACGACCCGCGATGCTCCGCATCACCCCATGGTTCCCCTCGGGAAGATGGTGTAATTTTTTTAATTTGCCTTTCCAGATAATCTGTCTACTCCGAATCCGTGCGCACCCCGTGTTGCGCACAAGAGTCGTGGTACATTTGTGTTACGGTTTGTAGTCGGCGGTCAATTTGGTTTTAATGCGAAAGCATTAACTGGTCTCATGGAGCGAGCCGAGATCATCAGCTTTGAAACCACGCCAAACGGCTCTTAAATCCTTTTTTTTTTTTTTAAATTGTGTGTGTGTTTATACAGCCTAGAACTTGGTCTGCCTCACAGGGGCGACGAGTCTCCCAGCTGTAGATGAGAAATTTAGCCAGTGCGGTACAACCGCTAGCCTGGGGTCTTTAACGTGCATCACGCAGTCTCCAAGGCAAGCCAGCTCCCATTCGCCGGTTAGCCGCGGCACCTTTTACACCGCTTTAATCCCATTGGCTAGCGCGCGTCGACCAGAATCCCATTCGCTGGACACGCAGCGCCATGGGGTGGCTAGTCGTTGAAACTGACGCTCCGCATCAGTTTCAACGACCGGCCATCTCATGGCGCTGCATGTCCGTCAGCGCCAGTCAGCGCGCCAACACGCGGGTTCCCCTTCTTGTTCCCCTTCTCCAGGAATTATTTTCGTCATTCTTGTCCAGCTCGTTTGCACCAATGCATTTAATTGCATTAAAATAAAAATGTACATGCTTTCGCATTCACAACCTGTAAGAAGTGCTTAGGTGTACCTCAATCTTTTTGCTTGCGGTTTTGTCCACAGGCTGGAGAACCACCAGCTTGTGTGGATGTTTGCCGAGGCCGCCCTGGAAAAAGATCAGCTAGTTGGACTGAAGGTACGCCACCTATTGACCGTGGTAAACGACGGACAAGGATTGTATCCACCCGTGCAGATGACATTTTCTCGAGGCTCGATTCTTTGTGATGTGGGCACCGATATACGGCCAGTTTGTTTCTTTCAAACTGTTGTCTTTTGCTTTACTATCCCACCGCCCCCACTTAAGAGCACAAGTTTGGTCGATCTCTTAGGTTCTGCCAATTTGCACCTGTACGCAGGAGTGGGAGTTGGAAACTTTTAGAAGAAGGTTTCGCCGATACGTATTTACGTGCCAACTTTTCGCCACCCTAAAATCTGACCACGAGTCTGGTGACACGTTACGGTAGCATCGCACCACCGGCAGCCTTGCACCGCCTCCATTTGATTGCTAGGTTGTTTGTTGCACTCTCTCGTTGAGCAGAGCATGCGTCAGTTTCTCGAAACCAGGGAAATGAGGTACACATGCGGCCATGGAAGACCCCAATGGCCACAAATGCATTTTGTTGACCTGCTTCGCGTGTTCAGGCCTCAGACGTAGTTCTTTGGCATGTTCCCCTAAAAGATATTTTGGTGTGCAGTGGATTCATTGTAGTTTTTCTTCGGTATATCTGAAAACATCAAATTTAGATTTTTGGGCGGGTCTTCCGAGCGCGTCGGAGTATTTGTGTGGCGTCGAGAGCTAGATTTCACGTTCTGTATTCTCGTCTGTGTTCAGGTGTTCACGGAGAGGCCTCCCGAAGAGCCGGAGACGGAGCGAATGCGGCCCGACAGCGTCTTGGAGTTTTTGCACCGCTTCTCCGACGCTGTGGTGGGCTACCTTGAGTTCCTGGTGTACCGGAGAAAAATCGAGGTGTGCGAGACATTTTCATTCCCGTGTTTTTTTCTGGCATCCGGGAAGTTGCACGAAGTGGTCCTCAAACTTCGTTACCATGCCTTGGAACGAAAGGCTCGACGGCAAAGGACACCGACGTCGCGTCGCTTCTTACGGCGACGGCCGTCATTGGCGAGGTTTCAGAGAGGACCTCGTGATGCATTTTGTGTAAATCATACCAAATTTCCCCAGTAAATTTGACATTGTGACATTACCATGTCGAGTGGTGCCACGACATGTCACATGACACCACAATATCATGCGACGCCGTGCACCGCCTCCACGGCTCCGAGGCGAAGCGCGGGCCTACAGGTCCCCAGTTGGCGGGTTCGAATACCGGCTGGGATTTGAACCTAATTGGTTTATTGCATGGAAGGCGCCGTATTCGAGACTTCGGTTGCACGTCAAACGATCCCGAGGTGGTCAAAATAGACCTCGGTCCTCTGCTGGGGCATGCAAGTTGCCTTTTGTTGGTTTGGCATGTAGAAACCACAAATCTAGCTCGTGACACTGTGACATGGGGAAATCGATGGTCGAGCATGTTAGTGCGCCACAGATTGGAGCTCATGGAGCAAAGAAATCGCACTGCAGAACCTGGGGATCCTTGGTTCGATCCCCACCCCTGTCCGTTCCGATTTGGATGAGCGCTGTACCGGGGTGCAGTTGTGTATCACTGCTGCTGGTGCACCTTAAACGGACACTGACAACCTCCAAATTCTTTTTTTAAATATTTTGCGAGGCAATTTTTATTTTTGGTGTCAGAAGACTGCCTAATCAATATTTTGCAACAGCGTCACTTATATTTTTAATAAAGTAAAAAAACGCAGCTGCTCGAAACCGAAACCAAAACTGGACTGGGGAGGAAGAAGAAATATAGAGGAGGAGAAAGTTACCGGAAGTCACGTGGCTGTGCAAGTTTTTTTTTCTTTCAATCAACGTATTTGCAGCTTTTTAGAGGCCACAAAAAATGGGTATAATTCTTTTTGTCTATTTTGAGTATTGAGTGTGTGCCTTCGATGACCCATGACTTTGATTATCTTTGGTGGTTGTGTCTAAACTATGGAAAATGGCATGTGACTACGGAAAAGAGAGTGAGTGCGACTCAAACTGGCCAGTTCTCAATCGGCGGTTTTCGGGCGGAGAGAAAAATTTCGAGCCGGAAATTGTGTTCTGGGTTGTTGGGCTGTCACATGTCATGTACAAAAATAAAAACCTTGATGAGCATAAATACTCTCTCAGTGTCCCTTTAAAGACCCCAGACCAGCGGTGGTTCTGCACCGGCTAAATTACTCGGCTCCGGCATAAATCAGCGTTGCCGCATCTCGACGGCAGACTTACCTTACACTGTATAAACACAAACGTCAAATCTGGTTTTGGTCTTGGACACTCTGGTGTCGCTTAACACTGTGATATCACTTGAGAACCATAACCCAAAGAGCCAAAATATTTTACAGCGAAGCTGTTTATGTCTAGGGTTCCGTGGATTTTTTGTGTGCGTGACCAAAAACTTTACACTCGCACTGCCGCATTCCCTTCCCTGGATAAAAGATTCGAAGTAAACAACCGAAATAAAGGGTTGACAAGCGCATGCATGATGCCATTTGTTTTAGGCTTTCAACCAATCAATCAATCTATCAGTTTATTTTTCTTTTAAGGGGTACACACTCCTCGAAATGGTACCTTGGCGCAAAAGGCGATCGTGTCGCCTGACTGGGCACCAAGGTCCAACGGGGGGGGGGGGGGGGGCTTTTGCTTTAGCCTTTTTCTTTAGAACAGTCACTGCTGCAGACGCCAGCACGTGTGGCACGGGGAACACCATTCCGTGCATTCTCCTTGATGTTTGGGTCATTTAGCAATAGTTCTATTTCACTTCTCTTCTCTCATGGTAATGGGGAGGCCGCGTATAGTCCGCACTCCTGAAGAGTAGTGCACCTACGAAGAGCAACGGCGGGAGCAACAACGAGGATGTCAGCAGTGGCGGCAGGCGGCAAACACTGCTGGTGTTGATCGTGCACAAAACGTCGAGCGCATGCGGCAAACCAGACAAGACGACAAATGCATCAAATCATAGCCTCCTTTATACTGTTAATGCCTGCCCAATGGTTGGCTTCACCATGCTTCATCGTCGTCGCGCCTGCTTCGCATGTTTGCTGCTAGAGGCGCCAAAACCCCATACAAAAATGCAGACGACTCTTCTTCGCTGCCCGTTGCTAGTCCACTGTGATGCCGTTTGTGAATTGAATTCATTCGTAACCCATGCTACATATTAGGCGCAGGGCACCGTCAGAATAGATTTTATATATAAATAAGTCTTATACCTTTCTTTTAGCTTTCACGTCTTGGTTTTGTTTGTATGCTGAAATGTTACCAGACCTCTGGTGCTTGTCATATCGACAACAGAAATAGTCAACGCCAATTAAATAGGAGACAGACAGGCTGACGGACTTTCACAACGTTGAAGCAGTGACCACTTTAGAGTTTTTATTGCTACTGGATCACAGCCGCAAAACATACGGCCTGCGGACTACATGCGTCAGTCATGTGGTTTTTCTCAGGACCGCGAACGCGTCCCCGCTGACCGAAAGCCTGCGCACCCGTCGGCAACACACTGACCGGGGGTCTTGATATACAATTTAAATTTGTTTTTTTTAAGTGCACAGCCCCTTGATGGTTTTGACCGGTCTCTTGTGGTCCGCACTGTTTTTCACGTATGCAGTTCTAGAGTTTTTTAACGGCTTCGTAGATTGTGGCTTGTTGGTGAAGATCTTCTTGGAGTCATGCTTGTCAGTCACGGATGCCGAGTAGTTTGTGAAAATTGGCCTGAAATATCTAGTGCACAGAAATTGCAGAAAATCTTTGTGATGGTTGACATCTTTCTCTACCTTTGCATATTTCAGAGCGCCATGGTGTATAAAGCCTGGTTCAGACAGTTGCGTTTGACTGCATTTGACTGCGTTGCGGCTACGAGAAACCAGGACATCCCTGCTGCTTATATTGCGTGCCAAGATGATTCCTTGAATTGGATTCCACGCTTCATACGAAGCACAGATGTGTCAGTGACTCGCTTTCGGTTCTCGACACAACGCAGTCAAACACACTCAAACGCAAGTGTCTGAACCGGCCTTAAGAGTATCCACCGCAGTATCACCAGCTGCATGCTAAGGCTTTTTGATTTTCAACATATTTCGTTTTTTTTTTTTTGCTTTTTTTTTTTTGGTAAAATTTCTACAAAGTTTTTCAGCGCATGCAACACCCTCACTAGCTTCACTGATGGATAGTATAGTCCTCCCCTGTCCTGGTGCCTGAGGAGGGAATTACCAGGAGCCATAGAAGCCTCTTTAATGACCACTAGGAAGTGCAACTCGCGAGTCCGAGTTGCACATTGGCACACACCAGTAAAGTATCATGCGACTTAGAATGCAGCACAAAGAGTTGGGGCTAAGTACAAGGTGCTGATGTGCCCATGATCAATAAATGGAATGAAATGACCGCGCCTGTACGTGTGGCGTCACGGTGCGCATGCCACGAGCAGCAGACGGCTTCGTGCTATTGAGCTATGCCGGCAATTGCTAAGCGCTCTATCTGCGGGTCGAACGACGACCGAAAAAAGTTACTCGCGTCACAAACAAATTACGTGATCAAGTGACCTATTTGATCACGTAAGGTCACGTTTCCACGTAACTTAACGTAGAAAACTTACGTTATCACATAGCTTAACGAATAACGTAGCTTACGCTAGCTACAGTGAACTGTAGCAGCAGGCAGCGGACAAGCGTCGTCTGCATTTCTATATGGGGTTTTGGTGCCCCTAGTAGCAAATCTGTGAAGTAAGCGCGACGACGACAAAGAAACCATTGGGCAGGCATTTTCAGTATAAAGGAGGCTATGATCAAATAAATGTGTGTGCGTATCCTATAAATGTGTGTGCGTATCCTATCGTCACGATGACCACCAATCTAGACAATAAATGTCTTCGTACCTTTGTTGAAAATTTTGTGTGACGTCTGTGTCGTATGCTAAACAGCTTTGCTAGTCGTCCACTTTCACAGAATAAAATGGCTCATGATTTCTTTTTTTTAGCTGACTGAATTGTAGATGTATTTGCATCCGCTTTAGCAGCGCCTTATTGTTTTCCTCAAGGAATTGCAGGAGCTGCGCGTCTTTTACTGTGTTGCTTAGACAGAACAAAACTGCACGTCTCGTTTTGTTTTGCGACTGAAACTGCCGAATCGTTTCTTCGGAACTGACAGGCAACCTGCGTCTTCTTATTGCAGAAGGAGAAGTACCACACACTCCTGGCCGTACTCTACTTGGAGACGGTCTTGCGGTACCTCAAGCAGAATGGACCGAGTGCTGACTCTAAAGAATTAAAGGATGCCAGGTAGCCTTTTCCTTGCTTGCTCAGTAGTGTTAAAGGAGTGATGAAACAATCTTTTCAGTTTTAGTTTCCTACTAATGCTCGTAATGAACTCCTTACTTCGAAACGCAGGATACAGTCACCGGTTTTTGTTTTTGTGCATCTGATATCGCAGAAAGGAACGCGGAGACGGCTCAAAGTGTTTTTTTGTTGCCGACCACCTTTTCTTTTCGCGAATTAATGATCATGACCATACGCCATAGATTCTCAAAAATAGCAAAATAGTACAAGAAGAAAAAAAAGACATTTTCAATTAATAGTCACTTGTGCCACTAGCTACATGTCACCTGAAACTCGCAGTGACATCAGAATGACATCGCGTGGGGAAGGGAGGGACTTTCGTTTCATGGTCCCCTCAACTTCTGATATTGCAGGTACTAATTTGATTGCTTTCTTTGTTTTGTTTTTTCTTTTCAGAGAAAAACTGCAGCATTTACTGAGCAGCTCCTCTTCGTACAGGGTGCAGCTGCTGCTTGGAAGAGCTCTCGAAAATAACCTGTACCAGGAATGTGCCATACTCTACGGAAAGGTCAGTTCAATGTTTCGAGAGGCGTGGGTTTGTAACGTTGGCACTTTAATTAAGCTCTTGGAACCCAGTTGTGATGACGTCGCCTAGGTTAGGCTTAGGAGTGTAGGTGGCACTTACCCGCAATGACGTTACATTAAGCGGGAATAATCAAATCAGCCATGCATGGCTTAAGTTCTATATTCCATGTCAACTTGGTAGCTATTTCGTGCAACGTTGTCAAGGCTAACATAGCTTTTGCAGTGCTCAAATGCTGTCAGAACTACTTGAGAGCGTGCGAAGGAAATATGAGGCAAGTCCATATGACTGCTGCAGCAGCATGGTGCTGCAGTACTGTGGAAGCTACTTTATCCTTGGCAATGTAGCACAGAATACTTGATGCTTGGTAAAGATAATGTCAGGATTGATGAGGCAACGAAAACTGAAACAAACTAAACGTTTAATGGGGCGAACTTGTGCCGATAACAAAAAGGAAACAGAAGATAACAATAGAGCGTCGCGGGCTTCGATGGTGGCGTAACAGCAAGATCGAACGCTGGGGCGAGACTGACTGCGGCTCGCCACGCGAAGCCCCTTATGTACTCGCGTTGGCTTCTGGAACAATAGACGTAAAAGGTTTGGCGACTAGAACATTCGGACCTCGGACAAGCAACAGGGTTCTCAAATTTACCAGAGCATTGAACTGAAAGAATAAATAAATAACACATAACTACCAGGAATCGAACCCGTGGCCTCCGCGCGAAAGTCAAACACGGTAACCACTCGGCCATGCACGCGCTCGCTCGCTGACGATCATGGCGATGTTGAGTGAAACCGACCAAGTTTAGGTAGGGGTAAGTAAAGCCGAGCAGGTTACATAATGTTGCTCAATGTCAAGCTACCTTCTTTGAATTAATTTCGGCTACTGTGGTAAAGGGGAGTCCAGTGTTAGTGTGGGTTAGGCTAGGTTATATTGATAGTGGTTTAGCCAACACCTTTTTATAACGTAAGAAATGTTGCAATAATGAAGACACAACCTAATAATTTCTGAGTGATGTACAAGGAGTCCCCGAGAAAAGAGGACCGAGTTTTTCAGCCAAGGTAAATTAACTATTCATCGTAGAATGCTCAAACTCTATGAAAATGTGATACTAGTGGTTGGGATAGAATGCGAAAGGTTGAGAAAATGACATCACCAGGATCAAAATTAGCCTAACAGAAATTGACATTGTGTGTGCCTGTAGCATCTATTTCAGTGAAACAAGCTTGTCAGTTAGAAAGAAAACAATATTCTGTTTCTCTCAGACAGGTGTTTCTCATTGAAATAAATCCCACAAGCGTTCACAATATCATTTCTTGTTTTCACAGTAGTAGGGTTAGGTAGATGTCAGCCGATAGAGAAATTTCGTTTCTCTCAGTTATCTTTTAATCAAAGCAATGCCCCTTCTCAACCGTTTGCGTTCTATCCGAACCACTAGCATTGCATTCTCACGGAATTCAAGCTTCCATTTATCCGGGCTGAAAGACACAGTTCTCTCTTTTCTCTGGAACTCCCTGTAGTTTGGAGCTAGCTTACTCCGACTTCGTTGGTGGGCTTACACGAGGTTCGAATGAAACCAGTGCAGATCTTAGTTGAGGCTAGCTTGCATTGACATGGACTATAGTTAAAGTTCCTTTTGATCCATGCTATGGTCACTGACAGGATGAGAACTGCAAGGCATCTCTTCGGATTGCCTGGCCTCGAGTGCATGCGCGTTGCCTTTCGCCGTTGTTCGACTGTGCGTACGCGCGCGCGCTTCAGGCCAGCGGGATGTTGAAGCGCCATCGAAGGTAGGGAGCAAGCGCCGGAGCCGGTATACGCGAAGGGCCTCCCTGCCGGTCTCAACCTGTCGTACACGTGCCGTAGTGTTTATTTATTTCGGTGTTCTGTATTCTATTGCAACGGCTGAGGGTCAAGACAAAGTTCCCCACATTTGTCGCAGATTTGATAACATTCAAATAAACCCTGTGGACGCGAACCAGGCGTGCCTTTTAAAAATGCCACGCGACGTAGCTAGTACGGGCGCATCCGTGACGATCCATCGCGCTTTCAGCTGGAAGACCACGACAAGGCGTTGCACATTTTGGTGCACCAGTTGAAGGACTACATGGCCGCGGAGGACTACTGCCGCACCCTCTCGCGGGGTCACGACCGGCGCTTCAGGCACCGGCTCTACCACACCCTGCTGGCCGTCTACCTGGACGTGTCGTTGGAGTTAGTGGCCGTCCTTTTCTTCCTGCTCTTTCACGTTAATACAAACTCCATGGTTTTGCTAAATGAGTGTGCTATAAGTGGCCTGTCATAGACATGTAGTAAGCCTTACTCGAAATCCGTGGTTTACTTTTTTGTATGTTTTTATTAGAAAAGATTGTTATAAAAGAAGTTTGTAAAAAAGAAAAGTTGTTATAAGACTCCTTTTCGTTCCTGTAATGAAAGCTGTTGTAAAAAAAAGTGTATATTTTAGCAAAAGTTTGTTATAAGTATTTTGTCTCAAGAGAAATTTTCTATAAGAGAAGTTTGGCATAAGAGCAATTTGTTATAAAAGATCTTTATAACTTTGTTATAAGAGATATTTATTATGAGCATGGCTGTTGTGAGTGGACTCCACAGTAGTGCTACCAATTCAATGGGGGACATGTGTGCCAATTCAAGCATGCAACGAGTCTAGGTCAAGATGCTGGCAAAATTGGAATTTTTAATTAAAAAATGGGTAGGAATGTTTTTTATGCAATCCGAGTATTTTATGAATCGGCGCCAATATTTTCAACATTTCTTGTGAACAGTAGTTGCTGTTCCACGCATGACTCAGTTGTATCTCTTGAACAATATTTTCTCAAGGCTATAAAGGAGGCCATAAATGCTGAAGCGCAAAGGACGAGACAAGACGAGAAGGACACTGAACAAGCGCTGCTTACAACTGACATTTACTGACCAACACACAAGGGAAGACAGAAAGGAAGAGAAGAAAAGGAGTAAAAGAAAAGAAAGATATAAGGGCCTTTTATGTTTGAATGAGATACAATTTCACGAATGAACACACTGAACAGAACTGTGAAAATTTAGGCTAAACCTGATTTCTACCCTAAAGGATCAAGCATCTAAAGCTAATGGCTTTTTTTCTTTGCTCTATGTGCCTCGGCAGGGCAGTTATAGAGGGGGGGGAGCCAAAATGCAGAAAGTGTGAGAGTTCAGAATACAGGATGTTGTAACGTGATGCAAGAAGGTGTGGCTTTAGTGTTGTATTTTTCGTGTAAAGACATCTTGAATTTACAGCTTTCTCAGGGATTCAGCAGCTTTCATATGTTTTGCCTACGGTATGACCATATGTCAGGCCCTTCATGCATACAAGCAAAACGAAATACTTCTCAAGGGAAACCACCAGTGTAAAGTCTAACAAATATATATTTTTCCATGACGCTGCAGACTATGATTTCTCAGTAAAAGTTCATTATTGAAGTATTTATCATCTTGCCGTGGCGCAGCGAGGAAGACCAAAACAACCTCCTGGCTCCTGCCGTCCAGTTGCTGAACAGCGAGGTTGCTGAATTTGATGCTGTGAAGGTTAGTCGTGCTTGCCTCCAACTATCCGTGAACCCGGCAGCAGTGCTTCCGGGAAGCGTAACGCCCTACGCAGGTGTCACACTTACGAACACACCTCTAGAGATTGTGTTTTCGTGCTCGTAGCCCTTGTGGTGGGGACAAAGGCTACACATGTTTCCTGCATGTATTGTTGTTATAAGAAATGCTTGTTACAAGAACAGTTTGTCGTAAAATAAGTTTGTTAACAGAAAAATCTGTCATAAGAAAAGTTTGCTATGAAAGAAGTTTGCCATAGAGGAATCCATTATAAGAAAAGTTTGTTATAAGAGTTCCATACAAGAAAAGTATGTTATAAAAGAAGTTTGTTATAAGAAAAGCTTGCTATTAGAAAGGTTTGTTATAAGGGTTAGTTACATATAAGAAAAGTACTATGTCATAAGAGAGGTTTATTATGAGAGAAGTTATATGACTGAGGAGACCCTCCTTTTGCAGGTGCTGCAATTGATCCCACCAACGTGGTCCGTGTCCCTCGTGGATCAATTCCTGACCAAGGCTGTGCGCACCTCTCTTCACCGGAGTCACATGACACGGGTGGAAAACGCCCTTGCCCGCGGCCAAAACCTGCAAGTCAAGTGCACCAAGGTGCTGCTCCATCAGACGGCCTTGACCCTCACTGAAGAGAGGTGAGGAGCAGCCTTGGATTTCTGCCTACTAGTTGTCCATTGGAGTGGTGAGAAGCGGGGGGGTCTGTGGTTGAATGTGTTAATGCGCCTCAGCTCGGAGCATGTGGAGCAAAAGCTCATTTTGCAGAACCCAGGGAGCCTGGGTTTAATCCGAACACTTGCCCGTTTTGATCTGAATGAGCATCGTTCTGGTGAGCGGTTGTGTATCACTACTGCGTGGTACACGTTGGAGGCTTCAGGCTAGCAGTTGTGCTGCTCTGGCTAAATTTCTCATCTACAGTGGAAGCACCAGACGATAGGTTTAATGTAATGATCTAGAGGGAAAGGTACCATGCATTCCGTCTTCTGCTTCGGAACGACGGGTCATATATGCAGAGGGGCATGGACGGTTCTGATCAGACCCGATTGCTGGCAGCGCTTCGATATATACCAAGAAGCAGAAAAACATTGCTTGCAAGTTTTGTATCTGGTGTTTCTCTGGCTTTATTTTTGCACAAAAACACCGGTGTCGCACATTGCATAAAAATAAATGCCCCTGCAGTGTTTCAAAGTTGACGAGCCCTCGAGCAGCAACTTCAATTCGTTGCGGCAAGACGAACGCACCTAAATTGTTGTCTGCTCTCTTTCTCCTCTTTTCTGTCACACTTTTTCTCGGGAACACCGATGTCGGCGCTTACGATCTGCTGCATTCTGCTCCCTTCTTTACCTCCCTGCACCAGACACCCATTGGGGCTGAATAACTTCCTTCTGCCTGAACATACACCCCATGCAATTCCTTTTATTAAGAGATCATGATGTCGATTACATCACAGGGCATGCTCTGTCTGCGGACGTTCCTTCACGGAACCCACTTTCGCCTGGTGTTCGGACGGATCGGTGATGCACCTGCAGTGTTCCAAAGGCCTGACCAATGGCACGAACCATCACCCGAAGGGCACAAGTCCAAGAAGCTGCTCCAGATGAAGCCTCGCTCGTTTCCCTTTCGCCGTTTTTCCCAGCCCCTCCGGCTGAAGGATTGAATGACCATAGATATTTGAATGGCACAAGCACATCTCTGCGTGCCGTCTGTACAGTCGTGAAAACGATCATTTAATAAATTTATTTATTTTCGTATCTGGTTCCGTCCTTCTCTTGGGTTCAACGGAAAACTACTAATTTTCCCCACTTGCCTGACTGCTTCCTGTACAGTGTTCACTGGGCGAATTCTTTGGGTATCAAGGCATTCAAATGTAAACTAGTTTCTTGTTTATCTGTCAGGGCCATTCAAGTTAACGAGCCTCAAATTTGTGGTCCAGGGGTGCATCCAGGGCAGGGAGCGGCTTGTGGAGCTTCAGCTTCTTTCCAGTGTAGTCAACCTTGTATGCATAGTGCCAACCCCCTCTCCCAGCCATTCCTGCCCTCCCCCTTCCCCTAAAAAAATATTTGCTACGCCGCTGATGTTCGTGTATTAGCTTTTGCTCCAGCTTTGTTTACAAGGTGCAAGGTGTGCCTTCTGACGCGGGGCATACTTGCCCTCTCTTTTCCAATAGCTATAACAATTATTTACGCTAGAAGTAGCCTCCTGTGATTCCACTCGTGGCAATTGCGAGACGACTTTTCACGTTTTCGTGTACGCCCGTGTGTCCTGAGAACGAGGTGACTTGCTGTTCTATTAAAAATTTATAAGCAATTTATGGTAATTTTTGATGAGAAAATGGAGCCCGCTCCCGGTAGGTAGCGGACGCCATTCATCCGTACATTCGCGACTCCATCGGCCTCCATTTTCGCATTCAAAATGTTGGAAAATTACATAACTTCTATTAACTTTGAATTGGGCGAAGGTAAGTTGCGAAATTTTGGCGCTTGGTTCCAACTGCTGGATTTGGGCAAAGATTGAGCGTTCGGCGCCGCGTTCTTCAGTTTTGCGGGGACAAAAGTACACGACTCTCTCGTCCTCCAAACAAATTTTCGGCTACTTCGACGATCCTCGAATACAAAAAAAAAATCCCAGACTGTTAAAATGCACATTCCGGTTCGCCAAAAATCCCCGTGGACCGATAACACATTTCTAATGGAGCTGTCCAATGTTTCAGTTCCAGTTTCGATGTCCCGCATAGCGGAAGCGGAAGTATCACGTGACTTTACTCAAGATACTAGCCCAATCACGATCGTCCTTCCCGGAGTCATATGACCCAGCACTTCCTGTCCGCATTGCCTGGCTTTTCGCGCTAGAATCGAGTTGGTGATGCTCGCATGCTCGTTGGAAGGCGCATGAAAACTTAAAACTGCTGTGTCACCGAGCTGTCGCCAGCTGCCTTTACCCGAAGAACGCAGTGGGCAAGACAACGTCCCCTGAAGGAATGCCCTGCTGGCCTTCAGAGCGACGGACGCAATCAATGTCGAGAAACAACAGCCTTTCCTGGTAATAAGCATTTCTTGTTTTGCTCTGATAACTGTTGTAAGCACGCATGTGCAAATCTTGCACGTTTTCTGAGGACGGCCTCCGCCATCGACCATTCCAACATTCGCCTTCTGTGCGCTACTTAGGCTGTGGAACGCATTCTGAGCATGCGCGCGGTAGCTCCCTTTTGTGCGCTATCAAACGCGTGCTCATGCGTCCTTAGCTCAATCAGTGACTCATCATTTTCCGCCTGGCTGAAAAGCGCTGGAAAAGTCGTGGAACTTGTGGCTCTTAGTTGCCGCTTACTTAGCGTGATAAGCGATATAAATTGTGTTGACTTCCCGACTAAGTATCGCATCGTTTCCTGTCAACAAAATAGTAATAAACAATTGGTCCTCATGAACATTTAGACACAGTGATACGCACGTAGACGAGCTAACAAGAAAAATATGAGCAGAAAAATAAGACACTGATCCAAAAATAGCCAAATTGACCGTAACACGCGAAGTGCACGATGCGTGGAAGACATACCCGCGGTGGCTTGAATCTGAATGCGCATCAATCGATGTCGCCCACTTTCCTGCTGAAATCTTTCGCAGGCCGAGGAGAAACGTTACGTGGGCGTTTATGTTTCTATTGCATTCGTCATTTGCGTTATTGATGGTCACTGTATAATCGCCTCTCCAATCTATTCTTGTCACCATATATATTTTTAGTTTATCGTGGAATTTGTTTTTCTGTTTTTTTTTTCTTTTTTTTTTCTTCTTTTCTACGTGATGCAGCATATGGCACATAAAACAAAACAAAAGCAGTGAAGTGCGTGATTTTAGTTCAGGTTTTACCTAGTAGACACTAAACACACAAAAAAATAATTGTTTGAGAAAGTGTGTGCTGAACTTTTTTTTCTTTGTTTCTGAAAAGGCATTATTATTTTTTTTTTTCTAAATGTCTTTACAACCGCAAGAGCTTCCTATCAATCGCAACAACTATAAACAGTGAAACTCGGAAGCAAGCTTGAGACAGCTACCTCACTGGAACCTTGTCATCCGATCGCACTGACATGAGATAACATCCACACGCTGTGGGTTGAACTGCGCTCTTCCGTGTCTCCCTGATTAATTATCCTAGTTTGTCAACAACGAAGAAGCGATCGCAGCCACACACTCAAGCACTGCCGTGGTTGTCGAAGCCCAATCAATCCACCTTTTCTGTTTTGGCCTCGCGCTCTTTGTTGTCTCCGGTCTGGTAGGCCTCCCTTGGGTTTGTAAGGTCTTCGTCCTCACTGGATTCGTCATCGCTACCCAGTGTCTTGATTCCTCTGTCCCTGATGGCTTGCATGGCGGCTTGAATTATCATCCACGTCCAGAAGACGTGCATGAATTGCAGAGCCAGCAAGAGGGAGCAGAAGACGTGGTAGGCGGAAGACATCCCCACAACGGTCACCGCTTCGAAGACGGCGCTGTAGACCACTCGGTACGGGTACAATCCCAGACGGGACACCAACCAAGAGATGGTGAAGAGGAAGAAGGTTGCGTCCGCGACACGCTGGCGATCGACATACCTCGCCATCCTGGCGACCTCGAGTGGCACATCCGCGAAGTCGTGGACGATGAGGACCAAGGAGCCGACGCGGTGAAGGTTGCAACTCCACGAGAGGCAGAGCAGGGTGATGGTGACGACGTGGTGGGCGAACATGGTCCAGAAGTCCCGGCGCTTGGTACTCACGAAGTGGGACGCCGTGCAGGACGTGTAGAAGCCCAGCTGGATCATGTAGTACCACCAGATCCCGTCGGCCACGGGATGGTTGGGAAAGTCGTACCAGCAGTGCATCGTGTCCCACAGCCAGGGCTTGTCCCAGAGGACGTAGAGGCCGTAGCAGAAGATGTGCGCGTAAAAGAGGAACCTCCACGCGGTCTCGGCGAATCTGGCCAGTTTCTTTTCTTGCGTGTTCCGGTGGTGGACCCAGAGTTGAACGCATCGCTCTGTGACGTGGAGTTCCGTGGCTAGGAGGCGCGCCTGCTCCTGGGTCATCGTACAACGGTTTGCGGTGAATCTGTTCATGAAGACGTGATCTTCTTGAGGGCGACGGTGGTTTGCACCGCGGTCTTTAATGCCTAGCCATACTCCGAGTGGGCGAAACGCTGTTTTTTCGAGCGTGTATCGGATGACCAGGAGCAAGATCGCTAGGAGGACACCGTAATAGAGATCTTCGCATCGGGCGTGCTTGGCTCCGTCTCCTCTGCCGACGACGTCTTCCCACGTCATGTTAGGAGGTAGCCAGAGGTCATCGTTCCAGAACCACTTCCCTAGCCGGGGAATCGTACCGCCCGCCATTTTGGAGTTCTCTGGCTGCGCGATTCAGCGATCTGATGATGATTGTGCAGGTTACTATATAGTTGCTGTGATAATCAAAATTGACTCTTTATCGAACTATTCTTTGAAGTGTGCAGCTTGAGCTATAATCGACCCTGCAAGCTCTCTTTTCATGCTTACTGTATTCTTCCCCTTTCCTCAACAACAGGAAGAGAAAAATAAATATAATTGTTCATTTTAGCCGGTGGCCTGTCTTCTACATTCTTAGCGTGAGCCTAATGGGAAAATGTTATACATTAACTGAACGTTGGATGAGCTCGATTTCGCGTTTCTTCGATGCCATTGCTTTTCTTGAAAACAGGAGGTCGATTGTGATGATTGAGCAGTTTTGGTTGGAGATCCACTGCACATGCGCTCGTGCAACGGACACACTCAAACGCGACATGAAAGGAGCTCGTGCATGTTGTCAAAATAAAATCAACCTGTTTTTTTTTTTTTTTTTTCGGAGAGGAAAAACAAACAAAAAAAAATTATCCGCTTTTTGTGTGCGGGCACGTTTAGCAATATTCTCGGAGCAGCTAATTGTCATATTCGGATTCATGGGTTAACGCGGGTCAGCGACTGTAGTCGCTGACAAGGTGCGAGCGGCAGGGACGAGCGAGCTTTTTGCCTTTGACGACGCTTCAACGCCTCGTGCGCCTCAAGCGCGCAGCCGAAGCACGGCGGAAGGCAGGGAGACCAGTCTGCTGAAGGTCGGGCGTTTGAAACACTCCCTCTGCCCGTGCAGTCACGGGTAAACTCTTCCTGGGTTACCTGACTGGTTGGACTTATAGGTAGGACTCCGTGTTTTCGGAGTACATTCTTCGTGAATTTAGGGTGCTTTTCGGAGTTTATTTTTCGCTGGAAATTCGGGATTTATCGGAGTTTATTGCTGTTAGATTCCCAATTCTCCGAAATTCGGAGTTTTACTCTACTGTAGTGCCAATTCGCAATATTAAAAATAAAGTTAAATAATTTCCGGAGAAAAACGTACCCTCAGTTGATAGAAGATGGTACTCCCAATCGCCCTTGCGATTGGGAGTACCGACTGTCCCGCGACACATCTTGCAAACAACTGCTTCTTTGAATAAAGGTCAGTGCTTAGATATGTAGCCCAACTCTCGCACGTAGTCGTTGGGAAGCATGTAAAAGCTTCAGCTACCCTTCACTAAGATCTACAGGTTTTTTTGCTGTTATAAGCACACAACCCTTCCTCTATCTAAGAAGCTCAAATAGCGTGGTCCATACAAACTGAACACAGGCACAGTGACTTTTATTGTGGCCCAGAATTACTGAGTAACGGTTGATAGTGGAGCTTGTTGGTACACAGCTGTCTATTCTCTATATCTTCCCCTGGTTCAAGCTGTCAAATATATGCCCAGAATTACGTTGATCCTTTGTACTAGTGAACGAATCTTTACGAAATAAACGGTAAACTCCATTTTGTTACAGACCCGAGATGAAAAAAAAAAAAAAAATGAAATGTTTTGCTTGGCAATTTTTATTCGTAAAATACCGTCCTTTTTGCTTTTCATTTTGCTATCGTGACCTCTAAATTCGGAGCTTTTTTTTTTTTTTTTTTGAGTACATTTTAAGTGACGATTGTTTTTTACTTGCGAGTTTTCTTCTGAGTTTTTCGGATTTATCCGGAAACAAGGAACCCTGGGTAGCTAGGATTTCGTGTTTTTGAAGTTTATTTCTCGTGAAATTCGGAGGGTGTTATTCAGAGCTTATTTTTCGCTAAAAATCGGGTGTTTATCGGAGTTTATTTTGTTAGATTCTTAACTCTCCGAAATTGTGATGATAATGCAATAAATGCAAAGGTGAAAACGAGCTGGACGAGAATAACGATAATAATCCCTGGAGAGGGGGAACAAGGGGGACAAAAGGCAGACACAAATCTCTAAACACTGCTGGGTGACTGGTGCGCGCTGAGAAAACCCGCCTGGTCCTGGTATCGAACCATGGTCCTCTCCATTTCCAGTGGAGCGCTCTACCGACTGAGCTAATTAAGAGTTAGACGTTAGTAGAGAAAACGGGTTTTAACAATGATAAAGTAGTGATTGCGCAGGCGAGCTGGTGGATGTTAACCATTGAGCTGTGTTAGAGACGTGTCCTCGACTGTTCATTTTTCTTCTACTTTGAAACTTTCCTCTTTTCCTGCCTCAGTCTCGGGCCAAGAACAAAAAGCGTTTTAACAGCTGCCACCAGGCTAACACCAACAAGGGTGAACGGCCTGCATTTTAAGGTTATGTCCCCCTGGTTCTCCCTCTCCAGGAATTATCGCTATTTCCGAAATTTTAAGTTTATTTCACCGTGTTCCCAATTTTCAAAAATTAAAAACTACAATATAAAGTTTGGGTACCATAACGCGTTGTCCTGAAGGAACCTCGATGGGGTTCCTTCAGGACCTCATCGCTCGATCCGCCGAAAGACATCCTGGTGATATATCCCACACACCGCCTGGTGTGGGATATCATTTTTTGTCAGTAGTTCAATAGAGAGTTTTAGTAGATCGTTCCGATACCTCCGACAGCCCCGATAACGATACTATGCATGCACAAGGGAGGCGGTGGCGGAGTATCGGGTATCGTTATCGGAGTCATGGGAACGATCTACTAAAACTCTCTATTATGTCAAAGGAAATTGAAGTGGCATCTCCCCTGGACCACTAATCTTGTGCTCTTATAAAGTTAGTTTCATAAAGAATCGTCTTCTGGACTCTTATTTTGTCGTTGTAACCTCGAAATTGGGAGTTTCTCGGATAAATCCGAATTGACGGATAATTTACCGGCGAATGTTTTTCGTTTTTTTTGTTGTTTTTTTTTTCGGATTTTTCCGGAAACACGGAACCCTACTTATAGGTCACGTGGTGATCAGGCCACGTGAAATGACATCGTGTGACACCGTCACGGTGACCATATGAAGTTACGCCACAAGGACTCTGGTCCGGGTGAGAATCGTTTCGGCGTCCGTTTCGTACATCACTACATTGGGATGCACGTTCAAGACCCCAGGCTAGAAGTGGTGCAGCAGTGACTAAACGTCTTACAGCGGCAACTCCAGATGCCCGTTGGCCTTGACTAACTTCCCATCTGGCTAGACATATACACAACTTTAATTCTTGAAGCTGTGGTCCCGTGTATACCGTCGTCCCTCCATGCTTGGCGGTGACCTGCTCCATCGGGTTCCGATTTCGTGAAGTACGTCTTGGTTGTGTATATCTGTTTCGCGAGGCCAAACATGACATGAATAAATATCCATCGTCAACTGGGAACAGCGTCTATTTAAAATCTCTGTCGCCTTTTGCGTTCCCTTGTGGGTTTGCTTCGGCTCCCAATTTTGTTAGAGTGGTGATGATCGCACATTTGTTATTATGGCACCTTTGCGTGGTCCACGCAATTTGTCAAAAAGAAGAAAGTTGGCAACGCATTAACAAATATAACGATTTTTTTCAGTTTTATTTTACAATAGACCGCAGAGGACGTTACAATGGATGGATGGATGCTAATGATTGTTGAGCCTCCTGGCCAAGAAACCAAAAGCATGATTAATTACCTCGCCCTTCTAAGTACGGATGTCGCGAACCTGCTTATAAAAAAAGGCAGGTTCGACTGAAAGTTCGGCTTTAATGCGCATACGCAAAAATGGGAAGACGAGTTGACACCACCACCTGGCGGAGGAAAAGCGCAATATTTGTGAATGCATTGCTTCACCTGTTCGCATTACCAACTAGCGAAATCATTAAAAGTATCTATTTTTGCCTTTATGTTGTGTAAACATTGGTAACCGTTCCATAAAATATAAAATAAACTACTTTCTAACTCTTTTTTCTGTTCATATATGTTGAACAGTAAATGGGCAAACCGAACCCGAAAACTCGGATACACACAGTCAAGTGCTGGGCAAACTACCTGTGTGGGAAAAGATCGTACTAGAAGCCGAGAGAAAAATGGGGAAGGAAAGAATGCGGGAAAAATCAGCTTTAACCATGTATAGGGGACGAAAACAGGAAGGAAGAAACATTGTTATGATAATTCACGGGGGAGCTCGTTGTTATTTGAGGCTAGATCAGGAGTATTGGGCTTGGACACATAGTATGTCAGGAGCATTGGACCAGGACATACATATGATTTATAGTATGTCCTGGTATGAGGGAATAGATACGAGGTGTGAGGAACGCTAAGGAAGATGAGGCAATAGAACATGTGGTGTTGAGGTGCACAGGGCTTGCTCCCGCCTTCCCGGAAAAGGCGGCGGATTTAGCCGGGGTGCTGGGTTTTGCAGACGAGAACGGGAGAGTCGATGATGAGTGCACTTTAATAGCAAAAAGAAAGATTAGAAGACTGGTGGAAATTATCTAGGGGAATTGAATGACTAACCAACACAACCGTGGACAGGCGGGACAGAGGAAAATTGAGACTCCCCTCTGTGTGGCTCCGGTTCAAAGTCTCAACCCTGCCTCTCAGTGGGATCGGTGCTGAGGTATAACGCCAACTAGGTTTGACGGGAGGAATATTGGCAACTCCCTCGCTTGATCCCCCAAAAGTTATTTTGGTGATATCCCACACCGCCAGGTGATAATTACGAAATTACAGAAGGGAAGCGAATTGGCGTTGAAGGGTGAAGGGAGGAATCATACTTTGGGTGTTTAATTTCTAGGCTAGGTGGCGCAAGCTGCCGCCCGTTATAAAGGGTACAGTTGTTAGCATCCATTCATCCATCCATTTAATCGAACTTTGTCGAACTTTGCAAAAAGGTCGAAGGTTCGCGGTATCCCTACTTCTAAGCCAGTTTGCTCCAAGCCATCTCAGTCAGTCCAATCCAGCGCCGTGAATGTATCACGTGACTCCCCGAAGGTCACGTGACGCTCGCACGACTAAAGGTACGCGTTCGGAGGTAAGGCCGCCAAAATGGCAGCTAGTGTGACGTCAGTGCGAGCCACTGAACTCCACTATAAAAGTGATTATTTTATCCAGCAGAAAAATAGAAACTGGTGGAGTTCGTATTTTTCTCAAAAAGATTCGGAACAGTGTGTATACTTACCTTTTCAGTTTTCTTCGAAAAAGATAAGCGAATGGCAATGATCGCGATTTGGTATGCCCCTTGATCGCGAGTGTCCGTCGTCGCGATTTGCACTTCTGAGCTCTTCTCGCTTGCTTATTGTTGGGCTGTAATCCGCCCGGCCTTGGCCGAGCCGGCGGTGGTACGCAACCTCTGGACAGCTCACCCATGGGCTGAGGGGGTGTTGCGACCCTACACGTAGAAACCACGAAAACACACCAGTATAATATAAAGTTCTGTATTCTGAGATCAACAAACACGTAGCCTCTTGAAACGACGCTAATTGCTATGTAATTAAAAAAAGAACATACCTATTATCATACATTCTGAGGACCTGCGTTTGACCTATCTGTCCGTTTCACACGATAATGCTGCATAGCTGTGGCGTTCCTATTGTTGCATATCCATTTCCGACGGGGAAGATGGCGCTGACTATGCCTATTTGGGCCTATCAACTCCCTCTATTAACTCACATTTTAATACCGCACTATTTCGGCCTGTTTTCTTTTGCTATAACTTTTTCACTGCAACGCACGTCAACGGAAGGGTTGTCTTGCACAGTCCATGGCTGATCTTGCGATCCACGTCCACGGCGACGACACGGTAAGTCTGAGACCCAGATTTCCTTGTTGAGACCCTTCCTTCTTTGTGGCGCCACTCTTGAGTGAGACTACGTCAGTTCAGGTCTTGCATACTTGCCCGCCTGACCGGAGACGACGAAACCCGTTAGTTAGACCCCCACGCTTCTCGACAACAAATAAGAAATTGCACTCGTCAAAACACTTGAGCCTCGCCACGCTGCCTGCTCAGTCAGCCTTGCGGTTCTTGGGCCTGAGCCCCTTGCCGTCTGCGGCTTTGTGGGAGCCGTTCGACACGATGGCAGGTTGGTCCTCTTCGTCCGTAGACTCGTCGGCACTGCCCAGTTCCTCAACGCCCTTGTGCGTGATGGCCTGCAGGGCGGCACGAAGGATCATCCATGTCCAGATGATGTGCATCAGTTGCAGGGCCATCAACAGGGAAGCGAAGATATAGTAGATGGGCGCCATGCCCACTATCCGCGGAGCGTCGACCACCACGCTGTAGACCACGCGGTAAGGGTACAGCCCCACCCGAGACACGATCCAGGAAACGGTGAAGACGGCGAAGAGAGCGTTCGCAAGCCGCAGCCAGGTAGCGTACCTGGCCATCCTGGCGAACTCGAGCGGCACGTCCGCGAAGTCGTGGACGATCAGAACCAGGCTGCCGACGCGGTGCAGGTTCATGATCCAGGACAGGCAGAGGAGGAAGATGGTGACGATGTGGTGAATAAACATCTGCCAGAAGTCCTTGCGCTTGGTGTTCACGAAGTGGGACAGCGTGCAGGAGACGTAGAAGCCCAGCTCTACCATGTAGTACCACCATGTCTCGTTGGCGATGGGATGGTGAGGGAAGTCGTACCAGCAGTGCAGCGTGTCCCACAGCCAGGGCTTGTCCCACAGGACGTAGATGCCGTAGACGAAGACGCTCGCGTAGAAGACGAACCTCCAGGCCGTCTCGGTAAACTTGGCGAGTTTTTTCTCCTGGATGGCGCGTCGATGGATCCACAGCTGGACGTTGCGTTCCGTCATGTTGAGTTCCTTGGCGAGACGGGTCGTCTGCGTGTGGTTCATGTGGCCGTTAGTGGTGAGGGCCTTGGTGAAGATCTTCACGTCCTCGGACCGATGTGCGTCCGCGCCGCGCTCTTTGATTCCTAGCAGCACTCCGAGCCGTCGGAACACTGTCCTTTCGAGCGTGTAGCGAATGACCAGAAGCGCCAGAGCGACGAAGACGCTGAAGTAGAGGTCTCTGAACTGGGCGTTCTTGGGGCCGCCGGCTTCAGCGTCGCCGGCCATGATGGCCCAGGTCACATTGCCGGGCAGCCAGAAGCTCTCCTTCCAGAACCAGCTCTCGAGTCGGCCAACCATACTGCCCTCCATTTTGGAGCCAGAAAGCCCAATGGGTTAGCGATGGCGTTTTGGGTCTTGTCCTTGGTCCTGCTCGGTGACAAGACAGCTGTTGAAAGAACAAAGGGATTATTGCGATTACTTGGAGGTTCTCGAGACACTGAGGCTCAGCTGCTACGTCAGGGTTTCTTTAGATTAAATTGCAAGCTGAACCTGTGTCTACCCTTTAACGCAACATGGTATGTCGTTTGACGCTGTACCTCGAACCCTCATGAGGTAATATCCTTGTTGGCTAGGTTTGGCCATTTAACATTTATGTGTCACTACAGGCCTTGTTCAAGATCATACCGGCCACCATACTTTCCTCCGTCCCCTTTTTCTTTTTGCAACTTTATGTAGCTACAGGCACGTAGCCGGGGGGGAGGGGGGGAAGGGGCATGCCCCCCCCCCCCCCGACATCTTACATTTTGCTGGGACCTCCTCTCCCCCCTCCACCTCATACAGCATTTTGTCATGGGCAGCCTCCCCCCCCCCCCCCCCCCCCCCCCCCCCCGAAATAAAACCTTGGCTACGTGCCTGTGTAGCAATGTGCTGGAAGCTACGAGAGCCTGCGCTGACCTTTCAAATGTGCGTAAATTTCGCGGCCATTCTGCGCTTTCTGCACTGATAAGAAATTATTCACGCTGAGTTCTCGTTTCCTGTACATTGCATATCAATATGATTTTATACTCCTGAGGTTTGCCTCGGGGCTGACACACTAAGGGCGTTATAGTAGCACCCTTCAGATATTAGGCTAAAAAGCAAAATAACGTCGCAAAAAAAAAAAAAAAAAAAAAAAAATACCGACGCCACGAAGAGCGCACGCACTGATGCGATTGGTGCTTCATTTTCGCCAAACTGCGCCACGGTGCTTACCCTGCTACATCTCACCAAGATGTCAGAGGAGTTCGCGTCACTAATTTTAAGTGTGCCAATAGTTAATTTCGTGTTATGAACATGGAAACGAAAAGATCGGGCATCACTGCACCGCCGGATTGTTACGGCAAGCTTTCGCAAATTTCCAGGGCTTTCGGTTATTGCATAGAATAACGTGTAGGTTTAGAAAGAGTTATATGCGTAAAGACAGGGGACGGTTGTGATTGGATTCGATATTCCTGTCAAACACGACTGGGTACCGTTCGGGCAGTTTAGATGGCTCCGCCGAGTGCTCTTCTCCCCGCGCACTTCTGCCCTGCGGTGAAGCTACGCTCCCGGAGCAGGCGTCGCGATTTCGTGTATCTCGCTTCGCCACAGCGCAGCCTCGTGTTGTTGGGTAAAGCACACTTCCAGAGAAGAAGGGTGCACACCGCGCGCCTGACGTTTAACACAAAAATGAAAATACTTAATGCTGATGCGATAACATTTACCTTGCAGCAAAATTTGCAGATTAAAACTACGGTCAGTCTATAGATAAACATTCCTAGAAATTGCGTGCATCATTATTTTTTTCTAGATTTAAAGAAAGATATTTAGATCAGGTATCGGGGAAAGAGGTCATGATTCTCGTTGTCTGGGTGTAAGTGGGTAGCAATATTGTTATACCTTTTAAATTTAATTAACACCCCTAAGTAGACTGTTCGTGAACGCAGTCAATGAAGTTTAAAACCACATCTTTAGAAATAGAATGAAGGCTTGGGAATGACAGTAACGCGTTCAGCTGCTTATTACTCGTTATCCATTCGTGCTTCTGGATCCGCATAGCCTGCGGAAATGCCGTTTGACAGAAACAGAAAGCAGCGTCCCGTACTTTAACGCATCCCTACTCCTCCCAGATTGTTTTTTTTTTTTAATTTAATTTTAATTTTATTTATGGTAATATGTGCAGTGCACGACACCGCTAGCGCAAACACAACTTCGGTGTTCTTTTTATATATATATATACTTTGAGAGTGTAATGGTTGGTACCAAATTTGGCCGCTTACCTTAGTGAGACCTTCCCAGTGCACTAGTATTTGTTGTGATACAGACTTTTTTAGAAATTTATAAATAACTGGCATTCGCGCTAACACTGTCGTAGTGTGTAAGCAGAACTTTTTTTTTTTTTTTTTGTATGCGACGAATGACATTTTTTACGGCTATTTTAATACTTTGCTTTCTGTCCGGCCGACATTAAAGATGATTTTTTTATGTGATATTAAGTAAGTGCGAGCAGACTCTTTGTTCTAGTAGAGGCAGGTGGCCTGTAGAATTTTCGACGTATTGTTGTAACTGGAAAAGTGTTGGGGACGATTATGGATAGTACGTTTTCCTACGGTAATGTCATGTACGAATCATGAACGTTATGTACTAATATGAACGTTGTGTACTAAGCATTGACGGTATGTACTAATCATTAACGCCCTGTACTAATCATTACCACCATGTACTAATCAGTCACGCCATAAACTGTAAATACATATCTTTAAAACAAAGTAGTACAATGTAGCACGGTGTTAGATCATAGGGAAGCGGGTTCGAACACCGGTACCTCGACGACGATCTCTTACTTTACTCCTAGTGTTTCCAATTTTCTAAATTTAGAAATTACGCGCTTTGTTCACTGGATGGACGGATTTCCCGACAGAGTTCTGCGGTTGTAATTTGTATTCCGTCGAGCGAGTGCGCGGGCGAATGACTCAACACCGAGACAAAGAAGCAGAAATATTCAAATATGGCGTCGTCGTATGCCCTGCATCTAAATGCTCGTCAGATAGGACCTGTATTGTTCGAGGGTCTCGCGTACAGAAGACGTCACGCTTTTTCGACGTAACACCGCGCTTTTCAACGTGCCGCGCCTCGCCGCCATTGGCCAGATACGACGTCGTGCGTCACCAAGGGCCGGCGCGGTTGCCGTGACAACCGGCTCCGCCGGAGATTGCCGAGCGCGCTCGGACGGGGTTCGACCGTCGTCTGCTCCTCCCGCTGCCTCCCGACACCCGCTTCGCCGGGGAGGCCTTTCCGAACGCACCAAGTTTCGCGATGGAACTTCGTCTTCGACGTTTCATGATCCGTGGCCTCCATTCAGATCATTACACGCAGCGTTTCAACGTAGATCAGGACGCTCGAACGTCCAGAGATCAAACTCGCGAAATAGCCGCTAGCCGTCCCGGTGTTGCCATGGCGATTCTCGAGACCAAAATGGAGATTTACAGTTACCTCTGGGTCGCCGTGTCGTGTGTCCGCGGCGCTTCGGCCGAGTGACCCTGGCAGCCAAAAAACGGGGCTCTTCGAGTTACAGCTACCCGTTCGCGATAGCTGCATAAATATGGCGGCCGGGGCCGTCTTCCAGATTGCCCGACGATCTGGGCGTCTCGATTGTCGGTATCCACGGAGGACCACCGGCGAAACCCCACGAGTATTGGCGGATCGCCGGTTCGTTCTGGGAGGGGCGAAGAAAGCGAGCGATTCTGACCTTTGGAAGACGGCGACTGGAGTTGCGCAGAGCGGCGGCGGCGTGGAATAGCAGACGACGAGGAGTTGAGCCGGCGGAAATAGCCGTCTGCGGGGGTGCGAATCGCTCAATGTCACCGCAGTGAGCAGCGTTTCGAGTAGCCTCGGCGGCGTCCTGTGTCTTGCGCAATCCATTCTGTCATCGTTCCGTGTTACCACTCGGAGAACAAGCGACCGTCGAAAAAATTTGGCTTATTGTGTTCACGTTTTTTTGCGTCCTCGCAAGCCGAAACACGCCTGACCCGGCCCGCCGTCCGCCTCCCGTGCACCTTTTTGATATGGCGGACGGAAGTGACGTGTTTATAACCGCTTCCGGTCAGTCTTTAAAGCGGTTGTAGCGGTGCCGCTAGTGCGGCGAAAGTCCGGTGGCTAGATAGTGTACGCCGTTTCCAGGAGAGAGAGCGTGATTTTTTTTTTTTTTTTTTTCGCAATGTTGGATGTTATAACTTATAAGGAGTTACGAAACCATACCGGATGCATTGTGGTTGCGACAGCGTCTTAAGGTGTGTGCGGGTGTCCGGTTACGGCCTTTGTAACGCCTTCTTGATGACTAAATGTCTCAATTTTCCGACCGAATATTATTGGGATATGACGTCAACTCGCGATCAAAAGCAGGGGCAGTTGAGTCATAGTTTAATAGTAAGCGGCAGTGTAAAAAAAAAAAAACAAAAAAAAAACGAATTAATTGTTTTTTTATTATTTCTTATTTTAATGTGTATCGTTGTATCTTGTCCTGCTATCATGTCGTTGCTTGTACGTTGACGCTGTCGAACATGGTTCATCCCCCGCGCAGGTAATATTAATAGCTAGATCGTTGCCTGGCACGCGAGACCCATCTTTGTCAAGGTCGAGGGCTCCCTACCGTAGCGCAATCGATACAGAAAAAGAAAAAAAAAAAAAAAAAAGGAAAAGTGTCTCAGCACCGTTTAAAAAAATAAAAATAAAAGGAGAATTCTACTCGAAACGAGTACTACATTAATGGGGGCGTTGAGACTATTTTACACCTCCGCTCAATATAGAAACAAACACACACACACACACAAAAAATGGCGGGACATTAAACTAAAGAAGAGGAACGCAAAAATAGAGTTGGGTGACTCAAAATGGCCGCCTATGCACTTCCGGCAATCTTTTTCTTTCTTTTTTTCTTTTTTGTCTCTCTCTCTCTCTCTATATATATATTTTGTGAGATAAGCGAGGCGTTGTTACGAAAGAGCGTTACGAAAAACCATGACGCTTCCTGCTAAATTTCGCGGACTTCAAAGTCCCGTTGGACCTGTAGATAAATGTATTAAGACCCGCAAATTAGTTATCGTTAATTATTAATGATGCACAATTAATTTATAAGGAGATAAATATATACGGTAGGTTATATTCATACGAGAACACATCATCAAAACGCGATAAACACACATTATACGCATAATTTTGAGGCGAATATACATTACATAAATAATTGTATGGACATAAATATGCATTATAGATGCAAAATTAAAACGAAAGAATAACAATAAATGTAATTATATTAATAGTTATTATTTTATTTCACGCGATAACAAAAACAAATACAGAATCAGGCCTGCCACAGCCGCAATGGACTCGTCAAAGATATACCGTTAGTTATTTATTTTCTTATCACGGGTTTGTTGCACTTTCTCGCCCGACACCCTGGCAACGACAGCCGCTTTCATATACGTTCCTTTGTAACTTGAGCGAGCCGCACAACACACAAGCGCTCCAATTGTGTCGAAGGCCTCTCCCAGCCCTGCAGGAGAGCCGCGCAGGACTCCAAAACCGTTGTTCTAAATACTTTCGGTTGTGTGTCGGCGGTGCCCTCGTCTTCCGCGCATGCGCAACGCGCCGCGGTATATTTCGACGTTTATATCTGACTCGTCCGGGGTCTGTTTAGGCATTCGAGGCGCGAGGTCGCTCTCCACCACTGCCGCCTCCCTTCGCAAACGCAAAATAAAGAGATACATTAAAAAAAAAAAAAAAGAAATAAAGAAAAAGGCGACTAGACTCCGATTTTTTTGCGAGATATGGAAGGGTAGAGCCGTAGCGGTGCTTATTCTTGATTTATGCCCATGACAATTTAACTTTTTTTTGTGTGTGTGTGTGTGTGTGTGTGTTTGGTTTGCGACAGGTACGACGACTTAGGGACAGGAAAATTCTCTGTACCGTTTTATAGACAGAACTTAAAGGACAGTTCTGGCGAAAAGAAAAAAAGGAGGGGGTTATGTATAAGTCGCATTCATCTTTGCACGGTCGGCACGGCGAAAGTGCATTGATACCAGTGTTGGCGCTAATGCGTTATACAAGTATAGCGGCGTTACCGGTAGTAACCCGTCGCTTTCTTCTGTAACGTAATAACTACTTGAAGACGGTAACGGGTATCGTACGTAATTACGTTACTCGTTGTAGCTTCTGCCCATGTCTTAAGAAAAAAAAATTACTTTCCGTTCATTTGTTGTTTTTCTTCGTCTTTTTAGGCGCGTCGCACGAGTCCTGTCACTTCTCCCTCATACTTCGGAAATCTTTCCTCTGTTTTCCCCACGCAAACAGAAGAAAAAAAGTGCACGCACGCACGCACGCGCAAACACACACAGACACACACACCCCATGTTTTGTTTTTGTTTTCAAAATATAGCCCTTATCAGTAACGTCAAACCAGTAAAACGTTTTAATACATAAATAAATAAAAAAAAAAGCTCCGCAAAAGTAGCGCACGTTTCTTGGTAACGGTAAAGCGTTCTTTTTTATTTTGAAGTATAACTTGAGTCGGTAACGCGTTCTGTCCAAACAGCAGACTTCAAAAACGTTTGAAGCCACGCAGCTCCGCGTGGCTTCCTAGCAAGGTGATTCGTTACTTTATTTTTCGGTAACGCCTACTGCGCTGATTAATGCTAAATCACGCGTAATACGCGCAAGCCAGTTTCAGTACTCTCGCCAACGAATGGAATGGAGAACATACGATCTCCGCAGCTTTCAGAAGAGTGGTGAAACGCTTTTCTGAAAGCTTTCTCCATAGTTTCGGTAAATGTAGCGCCTAGAATTCATTCTAGATAATCTACGAAAGGCGAGTTATTTTTTCCCCCTTTCCGGGCAATAATTTTTGAAAAAAAAAAAGAAATTGAGCTTTTTTGTGTTAATTCACAGCATAGTCTTAGCGATGGCGGTAGCACGTTACAGGCCAAGTCGCATGGGCATTGCCGTCGCGTTCAAGAATTCGGCAACATCTACGACGGACGCCCCAAAACGCCACCTATATATCGACAACCACAGCATCAACAGCGAACGTCATTTCCAGTCGCTGTAAAAGAAAAAGAAAAAGGAGAAATCCGAGCAGCTTCGTTCACCTGCTCAACTCGCAGCCAGCACAAGTGGCCATGTGATCTGCTGCCTATTATATGCCGCCATTGTTATCGTATATCCTGGGGTTGTCATAGCGCAGGCCACACGCTGAGTTTCAGATATGGCTAAGGGCTGTCCAAACAGGAGACTTCCAAAAACGTTTGAAGCAACGCAGCTCCGCTTCTGTCCGGATTTTTTTTTTTTTTTTCGGGCCGGAGGAGGAGGAGGAGGAGGAGCTCGGATATTGCCGTCGTCGCGGCGATTTGGGCACGTTCCACGTATACCGAACGCGTGTCTCGAGGCGTCGATTGTCACGAGGCCAAATGGAGTGTTCCCTCCGTGCTCGGGTCCCTTCTATGATAAGCCGCATTTGGATGACGTCACCGTGGGTAATTCCCGTGGCCAGACTTGTACGTAATCCGTTACAAGTAACGAAATTACTTGTAATCCCTTACATTTGTCAGTAATTTAGTAACGGAATAATTACATATTTTCTAGAGTAATTTTAAAGTAATTCCCTTACATTTTTGACGTAACGGATTCCTTGTAATCCGTTACATTTTTTTTGTCAGAACCAACCCCCCCCCTCCCCTTCTAAATAAAGTGCTTCTTTTTTTTTCCATTTTTGTAAAGTCGAGCGCAGTTTCACTATCACGCGAATTGACCAGCGCAAGGGAGGCTTGGCAGTTCAGTTCCGCAAAGCCTTTTTTTTTTTTTTTTCAACATCAAGCCCCTGAACCTATTTTTTTAGACCCTAACAACAATGTCGAAAAATCCAAATAAACATTTCTACAAAAAAAAAAAAAAAAAAGGGGGGGGGGGGGGGAGGGCGGAGGGGGCCAGGTATTTCCGCTTTTTTTTAGTCCCTCTGTTTTTTCTTTGCGACCGAAGACGGCGAGAGGAGGACACCAAGTGATTGTGCGCCTCTTCGAGAAGCTCGAGGTGGTAAATGCACTGAAAAGAATTAACACTGTCCTTCTACGACCATTTTCATAATGTCACAACACGAGACAACGCTCCGTCTACCCTACCCTTTCTGTGAGTCAGCTTTTTGCGAGCACTTAGAAAATGGTAATAGTCATCCCTTCTTCTTCCTGTTTTGCCCCAGCAGGGCCCATCTTATCTCAAGCAGATATTTTTACAAAAAAAACATAATGGTGGCTGACGTTGACTTGATATTCTGGGCTTGAGGAGAGAGTGAAATTCGTGAGTGGGGCCATAGCGCGGCTACTCTACCCTCTGCTGCCCGTGGCATCAGCGGACGTCGATCTGGAGAACACCGGAGTAAACTGCAATCGGTTCGTGCCCCGTGCGTTTTTGAACGGCGCCAAGAAAGGTACACACGGCAAACGTGCGTTTACAATTCCTTATTTTAACCGACGTTCTAATTAATTGTTGTTATGAGTGTCCTTTTTCTTTTATTACTTATATTTATATACTGGAAACTTCCTTTTATTCACCAACGTCTCAAGTGAGGCTCGAACTGTTCAGAACCAAAGGAGAAGAATATCGAGCCAAACATTATTTATTATTTAGTTATCACCTTACTGTTACAACTATGTTTTGCTATTGATGACTTCCACAGCTTCGCGATTTAGACAATGGAGAATTTAGATCGGTCCGATGACTCCGATAACGATATCCGATACTTCGCCACCGTCTTTGCGTATGCATCATATCGTTATCGCGGGTATCGGAGGTATCGGAAGGATCTACTAAATCTCTCGAATAGCAGGCAACGCCTGCAACGACGAAGCTTTGCTCTATATTCGAGGTAAGTAGTACTTCCCTTGCTTCGCTGAAAAAGCTCAATGCAGAGCATGAAGCATTCGTGAGGAACAATATGGCACTCCCATCCAGTGCCTCAGCTCAAATGGTGTTCAGCGTATCAGTCGACATATTGAGTAAGAAATAACGCAAAATGCCTGACGAGACTTTCGAGGGCCAGCTGTTGCTCAAAATACTCAAGGTCATTAAATGGAACAGGTGGCAAGAATAAG